CTCAGTTGGGTCTGCTCCTGGGAGCGGATCTGCTGCTCCACTTCAGAGCGTCTTTTGTCCAGGAGAAGGGCCATCTGTGTGAAGCTGTCCCCGCTGCGCTGCACTGCTGTCTGGGCAGAGCGTCTGATGTCCTGGGCCTCCTGTTGGAGCCTCTTCAGGTCTGTCTCTTTGTGCTGGAGGCTCTGGAGCAGCAGGGCCCTCCTGGCCGGCAGCTCTGCCTGCCTCTGAGCCCTCTCTGAGGCAGAGGCCACTATGTCATGACCCTTATGTTGGTCCACACACAGGGAGCAGAGCAGCTGCTGGTCGCTCCTACAGAACATCTCCATCATTTTGTCGTGTTGAGTACAGATGTTTTCCTGGAGTGTGTGAGACGGCGCCACCAGCTGGTGTTTCTTAAACGATGCAACATCATGATGAGGCTGTAGGTGGCGCTCACAGTAAGAGGCCACACACTGCAGACAGGACTGGACAGCTCTCAGCTTCCTCCCAGTGCACACATCACAGGACACATCCTGAGGTCCGGCATAGCAGCGGGCAGCAGGGGGCGCTGTCTTCTTCATCTGCTCTACTAAACCTGCTAACATGATGTTTTTACCCAGGACAGGCCTGGGGCTGAAGTTGAGGCGACATTCAGGACAGCTGTAGAGCTGCTTGTCGTCCTCTTGGTCCCAGTGCTGTTGGACACAGTTCCTGCAGTAGCTGTGTCCACAGGGAATAGTCACAGGATCCTTCAGTAGATCCAAACACACGGAGCAGGAAAAGGCTTCTTGGTCGAGTGTTTTCTGCGCCATCTCTCCTGGATCACAAACACTTGGACTTTGACACAAACGAAACTTCAGAGTGGAGTGAGAGCTGTGGGAGGAGCCACACCCACAGCTCTGTGTAGATGTGAGGAGGAAGTGGCAGCTCTTAAAGACACACACATGTTTCATGTGTCATTGTTAACTTGTCAACAAACATCATCTTCATCAGAGCTTTTTCTATAAGGACATGTATGTTTATTGCTTTAGTCTCAGTCTAGACCAGCTGAGCTTTAAACTGGATTAGTCCTGGTTTAGATCTGTTTACTCCTGTTTAGTCCTGATTTAGCTTTGTCTGTTTTTTTTTTGTTTTTTTTTTTTTGTTTTTTTTTATGTAATCCTTGGTTCTTTATTTCTGTCAGTTTTTACTTTTTCATGATGAAGCAGTGTGGATCTGTGATGTGACTCTGAAACAGGGTTATTACAATCAACTTTTTTCACATTCTCCAACAGAGGCACCAGTTTTTCATTATAAAACAAATGGGATGATCAAACTTGTACAAAACACCACATTAAAAATGGAGATAAACTATGAACTAAACCTGGACTAGACCAGGTCTAAACCAGGACCAGAACAAATACCAGAATTAAACTGTGAGTTTGTTTGTTTAGTTTATTTTCTTTGGTCAATTGAGATAATCATACATCATATTACACTGATTTAACACAGAAATGATCCATATTACTAAAGTTATTCAGTTATTCTTGGTGTGGCTCTTTTGATGATTGCATGTGGCTCGTAGATAAAACATCAAATATTTTCACTTGTTTTAGGCTACGTTTACACATAGCCGAGTATTTTGAGAAACGAATATTTCCCTCCCTCCGTTTTCCAAAATAACATCGTGCACACAGCATAGTTTTCAAAAAAAAGTTTTTGTTTACATCAAGCCGCATAAATCCTCCATCCAACGCCGTCGTAAGTACACCGAACCTCTGGGCGCAGCTGGATTAGATTCAAACCTGTAGCATTTATTTCATTACAATTGGACGGATTACTTAAAAATACATTCAAAAACGTGCATTAGTGAGCGGGCTCGCTTCAACACAGATCTGTTAAAGAAGTGGCAAAATCACCGACCTCCGAGCCCTTGTTCATCTCTGCTCATGGATATGATTCATCAGCTGTGTACAAATGCAAACACATGAAAAGTGCACCACAACAAATAGATGAGCTGAAGTGGGAAGTGGTGTCCGGTGCCTCCACCTGAGAAGCGCTTTCCCCAGGAAAAAAACAAAACAAAACACGTGCGCAAACGGACGCTCAGAACAACATATAATGAATCACACGGGATTCACGCTTCTGTCCGGATGTTTTGCAGCACCTTAGAACCAGCCGCGGTCGAGCGCGGAGGGCCGGAGCAGACCGCAAAGACCTGTGGTCCACAGCGCATTCTTCCTTTCCCCACACGGAACCAGGGCGCAGATGATGGCACTGAAGCTCTCGGACCCAGTCCTTTGCGCGCTGGTCTTACTCGCCCCCGATCTGACCAACACTGGACCCCCAGCCCCGTCTTGAAGGGCTGCGCGCTACGGTGACTGTTCCCGTATGTTTAGCGCTGTTACCCGAACTCCGGGCTGATGTGCGGTGAGTTTGTACAAAGTTCTAGGCTACATGCCGCTGTTTTATGAGTTCATGGAGGTAACTTGTGATGAGGACGGCCCGCAGTGTTAACAGGGAACATAGATTCCTTTTGCAATTGGAGGAACATTGGGAACATCGGTCTGACCGTAGTCCAGGTCCGTATGGGATGGCATCTGGACTATACCAACCACACTACAAAGCCATCAGCAAATCCATGCAGCACCAGAAGTCGCATTAATGGTGATTATTATAACAACATTATTTAAAAGAATAAATTCAGAGGCTTATTATTCTCACATTTAGTTGAATTCGGTCTTAAATATATTATATGGCTCTCACTGATAAATAAAAATAAATTTCCAAATATTTTGCTTTCATGGCTCTTTGAGTAAAAAAGGTTCCCGACCCCTGATTTAGGCTCAAGTTTTAACACTAATTTTGCCAAACACTATTAACATATAGAACAGGAGACAAGATGACAGAACTATTTACAGAAAACAACACAAAACTCAGGAAAGAATACACTTAATTCTATTGGTGCACACACATACACAATACAGACACACAATCCAATACACATCAATGTTCATACATACACACACACACACACACATACACACACACACACACACACACACACACACACACACACACACACTGGCCCATGTGCACGTTAGTATTCACACCTATTATTGTATAAATACACAGACACTTTGTATAATTGAGGGTTAGAATTAATTTGTAAGTTCCATGATTTATTGTATTTCTTTATATTTCTTTATAATAATTCTCTCTATAATTCTGGTCTTTATACACTTTTTTTCACAGACCTGATGGACACCTGATGGAGACGCATCGACTTTTTGGCTGGTCCTCACATGAGCTTTGTGAAAGAGGCTCGACCCTCTCAGATTAAACTCACTCTCTGTGGGTTTGAACATGTCTTGGAGACTCGGAGGAAGCAGATTATGATGTGCCTTAAAAGGATCCCCGGCTATTTTGACATGCTGCTCTTATATGATTAACGTCGGCATCAGTTATAAATACGTAATACCAAAAAACTCAAATATGTTCATTTGTAGTATTTTTTTTTATTAAAAAAGGAGAAAATACAATCACTAGTAATTCACCAGATTTGTTTACGTCCCAAAGCATTCTGGGTAACCTCGTCACAAGGTGCTGTCTTCTGTCATCAGGTTCAACTTAAGATCTGTTTTGCTAACACCATCAATTGATATAATGCCACACTGCGGGGCTTTCGGTTGTAATTTCCAGTCTAAAGGCAACAAGGAAACTGATGTGAACATTCACTGCTTTTCACATGATGCTAAAAAAGAAAACAATGGGAAAATGCTGTCAGACGAGTACAACTCCCTAAAGATGTGTGACAATTATATCATCTGAAAACTACCAAGACAGTAAGTTTTCATCACATAGTGATGCTCATTTATGGAGCAAGCAACTTTTTATTTGGCTGTAGTTGAGCATAAAATAAATAGTTGTAAACTCTGGAATGAGTCCAGTCCTACATAAAAAGTGTTGTGTGTATTTTATCCAACAGAATATGAATTGAAAAGTTACGACGTCAAGAATTACAATCACAAAAAGAAAATTTACCATTACACTTTCTTCAGTACGAACACGAATTCACAGACACGATCGAGAGGGCGGACTTTTACACTGCATATGGACTAAACCAGGACTGAACCAGGACTAAACCAAGACTAAACCAGGACTAGAACAGGACTAAACCAGGACTAAACCAGGACTAAACCAAGACTAAACCAGGACTAGAACAGGACTAAACCAGGACTAGAACAGGACTAAACCAGGACTGAACCTGGACTAAACCAAGACTAAACCAGGACTAGAACAGGACTAAACCAGGACTAAACCAGGACTAAACCAAGACTAAACCAGGACTAGAACAGGACTAAACCAGGACTAAACCAGGACTAAACCAAGACTAAACCAGGACTAGAACAGGACTAAACCAGGACTAGAACAGGACTAGAACAGGACTAAACCAGGACTGGGTGCTGCTGCTGCTGCTGCTGCTGCTGCTGCTACTACTACTACTACTACTACTACTACTACTACTACTACTACTACTACTACTACTACAAAACGAACTGAACAATTTCAATAAAGACTTGACTGTGCTGGACACTTCATGTTTTCAAGTTTGGCAGAGCTTGGACTTGTGTTTTGTTCTTTTATCTTTTTTTTATTTATTATTATTTTTAATTAACCTCTGTCTCCTCAGTTTTTACCGTTGTACCATTTCAAGCTCTTCATTGGGCTTTCACAACTTGACCTGCAATAAATAACTGGGAAAATTAGAGTGTTCTAAAACTTTTGACTTTGGTAGTATAAACCATAATCCTTTTATTAGTGCACAAAGTTGGGCATCAAAATGTTACATGTACAATAGCAAAAGTCATTTAGTTCATCAAATATTTACTTATTCAACACAATACGTATAATTCAGAAGTCTGTTGGTGAGCTACGTGGAAGGGGGTGGATGGAGAGCTCCTGGTGGCTCCCGAGCTGCAGGCGGGATACTCCTGACCCAGAGTGCGCATGCGCCCTCTGCTGCAGCTCCGCGTCGCCGCACCACCACAAACTCCTCAGACCTTGCACGACCCCAGAAGTGAAAATGAGGCTGAAAAAAACCCGTCGCTTCCTTTAGAACAGCGCTAACTTTCGATTAACTAAATTTCTTGAATGTTCCGCGGATTTCTAACGAACTTCACAACAACAACAACCAGCAGCAAGTCGCGGTACGTGTTTTCTTTCCATCAAATAAGTTTCAGTGACGTACCTCTAATGTAATGATGTTATTTGTACGCGCAGTCAACTTTTACATTCGTGTGCATGTTAAATAACAAAAGGCATGCGTTAATCTGTGCAGAGACACGCGTCCAGTTGTTTTTTTTTTTAGTGACAAATACGGTCCATTTAAAGCTTAAACCGAGTACTTATATCGCTACTACGAATCCTTGTGTAACTGCACGGCAAAATCAGGGTGACCACACGTCCCTAATTCCCCGGGACAGTCCCACTTTTGAGTCCTGTGTCCCTTGTCCCAGCAGATTTATCCAAAACCAGTGATTTGTCCCAGTTTTGTACAAAAAATGTTCCAGGTGTCCTTGTTTTGGACCGATCTGAAACGTGTCAACAGTAAAGAGAGACGTATATTGTGTGTTGTTTAACTAAAATACAGAAAAAGTGCTTGAAAATGAGCATGAAGTGAAAAAAATAAATAAATAATGCACCGATAGAAGTTCCTTAGATTATGAAAATCTGATAGGCAAGATAACTGCTCCACGTGGTTTTCCGGGTTTGTGCCATGGGGGCTGTGGCGCACTGAGTATTTCTTCTGATTAAACCGTGCATTGTGTTATTTTTCTAGTGGAGGGTCCATCAAATGCTTTTCTCCACGGAGATGTTCGTGCTGTGTCTAGAATGATCCACGGTATGACATTAAACAGCTTTACTTGACATTTATTTTGAATTACAGCTGGTTTTATAGGTCAAAAATACAACATTGTGATTGTGAGCGGGGTTTCTTCTCCACAGATCTGACCTGTAACTTGTAACTATACGTTCTGTTTAATCCTCCTGGTTTAGTCCTGATCTACTTCGTATCCAGAGTTGAGAGGAGAGGTGGGACCAAGTCGTCGTTTTGCAAGTCCCAAGTAAGTTTCAAGTCTTTGACCTCAAGTCCAAGTCGAGTCTCGTGTCACCGGCCCAGTAAGTCCAAATCCACTCCAAGTTGTCTACTTAGAGCTTCAAGTCATTTCAAGTCTTTGAACCTATGTACCAAATATAGCTTAGATTTTTGCAGTTTATATTAATTTTAAAGTAAATTGTACTTAAAAAGTTATGGTATAGGTATATATGAGTATTTATATAGCTGTCAAAATGCTTCTTTTTTTTTTTTTTTTTTCGTTTTAAATGCCTTGACATGATCTTGGTGTGAATCATCACAGTTAGAATAGAAAGAATGTTTTATGTCAGGGGTCACCAAACTTTTTTCTCTGGGGTCCGTGGTCGGGTCGACCGTATAACAGAATTGTGTGACCCTGACGGTGCAGATTATATTCTTTGAAACCCGCCACACTTTCTTTCACTTTCTAACATACCAGACAAACTGCACACTCCTCACACTGAACACAAAAATAATTGGTCGTCCACTGTTCTTTGAAAACTTGGCACTCTGTCAAGTTTTTGTACTTTAACATGAACCATTTTGCTGTTCTTAACTGTGCTACAGTACTCTGCATTATAGTACTCTGCATTACAGTACTCTGCATTATAGTACTCTGCATTACAGTACTCTGCACTCTAGTACTCTGCATTACAGTACTCTGCATTATAGTACTCTGCATTATAGTACTCTGCATTACAGTACTCTGCGCTACAGTACTCTGCTCTACAGTACTCTGCATTACAGTACTCTGCATTACAGTACTCTGCGCTACAGTACTCTGCTCTACAGTACTCTGCACTACAGTACTCTGCACATGCATTAACTGTCATTGTTTCATCTTGCGCTTGTCATGTGATGAAAATTTGGTGGCAAATGTAAAAATATGTCATATAGTTATTTAAATCTAAATATAAATACTTCATATAAATATATATTTTTAAATTGAAAAAATCAGCAAAATACAAGATGCAGACGTGTTATTATTTGCTATAAAGTAATTTAAAAAACAGGCCGTGGCAACTTTTGAGGACTGCCTCATAGGGCCAGTTAGTTTGATGACGCTTGTTCTTTGTAGTTCCCTCTGTTTTACTCTGTTGTACTGCATATTACTGTAGTACATTTGAGGATACCATCTCACAGTATTTCAGTTTCATCCAGAGTAACAGAGAAGTGGGAGGGTCCCAGTTCCAATTCCAGTTTGTTCCTTTAAAATTAAGCACCGCATTTATCAAGAAGCGTCAAGTCTTCTCAAGTGACAGGCCTCAAGTCCGAGTCAAGTCCAAGCCGAGTCCCAAGTCTCAAGTTCATGTCTCAAGTCCTAAAAATAGTGACTCAAGTCTGACACGAGTCCAAGTCACGACCTGCAAGTCCCAAATCTGGTTGAGAGAAACTGAATACAAGTACTGAAAATACATATTCAGAATACACATTTTAAGTAGGCTCATTGTGTTCTGGTATCTTCCGTTTGGTGATATTCAGAGTACAGTTACTTTTCAAAAACGAGCACAGAAAAAAAACACACACACAAACGTCTTCCTTCTCCAATCAGCGACAAGAAGTGCATAACATAGTCAGACGGTTAATGTCTAAAAGCTTTTTTTTTTTTCTGGATTTAGACATCGGCCATCTGAGTGTGCGTTAAAATTTTTCACTTTTAAATTGCTGCTCCTTGCATTTTCACCTCGACCAAAAAGTTACACAGTGCACCTTTAATCTTGTGTTGTATCATTTACCGGCACTAGATGTAAAAGTATTCAAAGTAGTCAGATTACAGTACTCTAATCAGGCCAAAATACATTTAATGCAGTAGGCTATTCAGTACTTTGTAACTAAGTATACATTTTCAAACTATTCTTCCCGTCACTGTCTGTATCTACTTTTTTATTTTTTTATAAAAGGTTAAGTGAGACAGAGATGAAACCTGGTGATAGAAGCCGTTTTGTTTGAAGTTTGCGGCAAGTTCAGGTTCAGTTTGAGGAAACCCCGGGTCCGCTTCTCAATTCTCTTTCTTCTCAATCTCAACTGTCAATCCTTCATTTTTCAGCTGTCAATCAAACGAGTCCCAAAGCACGACGGAGGCAAGGGAAGGAAACCACAGAGGAAACACGGGGGGGGGGGGGTTCAGATTGGCACATCGGATAAAATAATTACACTTTATTTATCTCACAGTGAGGAATTTATCTTGTCAACAACACGAGTACAACCCAAAAACAAAATACAGGACGTGTTCCGCTGTGTTTTTAAACTTTATATACCTTTTTTGGAATCATTTGGAGAACTTGTGCATTGTGTAACTTTTCTAGTGGAGGGTCCGTCAAATGCTTTTCTTCATGGAGATGTTATTGGTTTGTTTGTAAGGGTGTAATGATATCCAAGTCTCACGATACAATATCGTCACGATATCAACCTCACAGTACGATATTTATTGCGGTATAGTGGTGAAGCTCACAATATGGTGGAGAGGCTCACGTTTAGGAATGTAACAATATCCAAATCTCTCTGTACAATATTTTTACGATATATGTCTCACAGTACGATATGTATTGCTTTAATATTATTATTATACAATATTCTTAATTTAAAGTTTAGTGTTAACAGATTTTGACATCTATTTTCAATATTTAATTAAAAATGTTCAAGTTTTTTTTAAAATTTGGATGTTTTATTCTCTCTGGTTTATTTGCCCCGGAAGTTCTGCTACTAAAAGGAGTGACCTGAAAAATTGTTGCCCTTTTGTGAACAAACATGTCGTCTTCTTTTATAGCGACACAGCATGCATCATGTCTTAGAAAGTCATTGAAAAGGAAGCAGCGAGGCGAACTTTGTTCAGTTGAACTATAATAACAATAGGGCTGGGCAACAATGTAAAAAAATTCATTGCATTAATCGCATGAGTTCCTGTGATTAATCATGATTAATCGCATGTTATACGCAAAACCAATTCATGGATTCAGAAGTAGTGTATAGTGCACTTTTATTGGAAATGTAAATGAAAGAGCCACATCTGTTGTGTAAACAGAACATTTGTTTATCCAGCAGCAGGGCACTAGTCTGTCCATGTTTCTACTTCTTTCTTTGGAGAATCTTACTTACAGTGTAGTTAATCAATTCCTAGAATTTGACTTAATGAATTGAATTCAAAAATAAAGTGCATGTGATCAGCAGCAGTAAAATAAAGTATTCAGTGTAAATCTCAACTGAAACAATCTAATCAAACCAAATACAAAAGTGAAATGTATTGACACTGCCAGAGCTTTAATGTTTCCTGTTTGATATAAAAATGAGAATCTCAGTCACAAACAGTCACCAGACCTAGACCTTTTTTTTTTTTTTTTGCACAAAGCCAACTGTTAAGGCATACCAGAATATTATTATTAAGAATGCGATTGCTGGCACCTACTTCTCACAGAAGTGAGAGAAAGTGAGACCGGGGGTGAGGTGTTGCAACAAGGAGCGATGGAGCGCACAGTGGTGCCCCCTGATGCGCTGTGTGTAAAGCCTCACTCCACTTGTTTCATTGAATGATTTGTCGGCATCAACAGAGTGTGTTGGTTGTGGTGATAGTTCAGAGTTGTGAAACTCCGGTGATAAGACAGTTCAGTGTTGTAGTGTTACAAATGACTTTGGCTGAGTCGACTGCGCCGTCTGGAGAACTTTGAAATGAAAATGGCCTTGTAAAAGTTCCTCACCCTTCTCCGTGTTTGTTTATTCTGCTTTCTTTCTCTCAGTTTTCTGTGAGCGCCGAAGCAGTAAGCAACATTCTAGACTCGCTCACAATGGACTTTTTCAAAATAAAAGCCAGTAAGCAACAGATGTTTACAATAAAAAAGAAAAAAATTTATAAAAATATAATGATATAATGATAATGAGTTCATTAGTTAACGTGAAATGAACGCAGTTAACGTGCCCCTAAATAAAACGAGATTTTTATTATAGATCCATGGTTGACACTGAATTCACATGCGGCACACTAAGCAGCAGAACTTCCGGGACAAATAAACCAGAGAGAATAAAATATCACCATTAAAATAGGCACTGAGACTGTTTTTGGATTGGTGTTATCTGAAATAAATTTTAAAATGAAATATTGGAAATCAAGGTTGAAATCTGTTTTGTTGTAGCACCAAGGAGGCAAGGGAAGGAAACCCCAGAGGAAACATGAGGGAGAGTTCAGATTGGCACATCGGATAAAATAATGACACTTTATTTGTCTCACAGTGAGGAATTTGTCTTGTCACAACACGAGTAGGACAATAGGACGTGCTCCAGCAGACTTTATACACCATGACTGGAATCATTTAGAGAATTTCTGCCTCAAGTCAGATCTGTGGAGAGGCGACCCCGCTCACAGACTCAGAATACCTGTATTTCTAGGTGTTTTTGAGCAGTAAACCACCTGCAATTGAATAAATGTAATGTAATGTGTCTCTGGGCAAGTTAGTAGACCAACATCTTTAGTTTTTAGTCTGAATTTAAAGCTTTGTTTCGTGCAATGATGTTTAGTCGCACTTCAACGATGGATTTGGGGAAAACAACAATCAGTACAATGGGATTATTTTGGTTGTGTCCACCGTAGGCTGTGGTCTGGCGGTCAAGTGGGTTTTCTTCATGAGTTTATGCAGCTAAATGTATTTCCATGCGCTTGAATCAAAATGCACCTGAAGCGAGTGAGTGCACTTTTATGCAAATGAAGGGTTTTAAATTTGATATTTTGCCTTTCCAATTTACGTTACTTATGTAAAAATGAGGTGATGGAAAGTCTTAATCTGTGTATCATTCGTTCATTCCTTTTTCAATGTAAAACCAAAAATAAGAAATCGAAAAAAAAACCAACAGTTTTCTTCATTACTTGTCTTCAAAACCAAATAGAAAAAAACAGGTAATGATTAGTTTTTTTAGTTTTCAATTTTGTGTTTAAATGAAGAATGGAACAAAATGGATAACAGCCGTTTCCCGTTTCCATGACTTAAACTGCGATGACAGACTGAACCAGGACTAAACCAGGACTGAACCAGGACTAAACCAGGACTGAACCAGGACTGAACCAGGACTGAACCAGGACTGAACCGTTTTCAATCCTGGTCTGGTCCCAGTCTCAGTCCTGGTCTCAGTCCTAGTCTCAATTCTTGTCCTGTTCCCAGTCTCAATCCCAGTCTTAGTCCTGGTTTAGTCCTGGTTCAGTCCGTATGCGGCACAAAAGTTGGGCATCGCAGTCACGGAAGTCACAGAAGACACGGAAATGGGAAACGACCGTTATCTGTTTTTTCCATTATCGTTTAAACACAAAATCGAAATCTAAAAAAAAAACAATTGTTACCAGTTTTTTTTCTATTTGGTTTTGGAGACAAATAATGAAGAAAATAGTTTTTTTTTGTTTGTTTTCTTATTTTTGGTTTTATATTGAAAAATGAATGAACAAATGATGCACAGATTTTAAAGCAGTGCAAGGTTAGAGTATTTTTGGTGTGCTGTAGATTTGTAGACACTCGGAGATACTGGCCTAGGAAGGAAGTGATTCAATGAGTCTTTGTTCGATCAGGCATCCGGAAACTCACCCACCCGTCTGTAAATCGGGATGAGGGGGCCTACCACGTCTCACACCTGGGATACAGTTCTGAAGAAGTCTGACTGCAGATGGTGCTGTTGTCCTGCTGCTCCAAGAAGGAAGACGGTGCCAAAATCTGTTTAAATCAGCTGAGCAGACAGCAGCACGTGGCCACTCTGAAGAAGGAGCAGAGTGCAGCCTAAACTGTCAAGGTATGAAAGAAACAGAGGCCTGTAAAAATCTGAAGTGTAATCAGTTTAGAGGACATAATGATGTAATCAAAGCTCATGGATTTGTTTCACTGTCACAGGCTAGTACAAAATAATGTGACACAAAAATGAAACTCTCAATCAGGAGGATTCCCCACCAATAATAGCCTATTGGAATTAAACTCCTGAGGTGTGTCTTGTACATTACACACACCTGTTTAGTCAGCTCAACACAGAAGTGCTCTGTGATGAAGTGACCCTAATAATTAGTTTTGGTGCTCACTTTTAAATTTTTGTCTGGGGAACAGAGGTCCTTGTCCCCTTTAGTCTGACATATTAGAGCAACACTCTTTTTTGCATTTTATAAATATATGTCTGTAAGTCCATCATCCTAACAGACACTGAGCAGTTGTTGAAAAGCACCACTATTGGGAGACAGAATGTCCAAGTCCTCAGCGTACATGAAATGGTTTATCAGTGGTTTATGTGTTTCACACATCTGGTTTTACAGTGGTTCAGTTGGTGGGACAGCTCCTCCATGTACAAGTTAAATAGGGTTAGGGACAGCAGCCCCCCCAGCACACCCCATTACTGACCTCAAAGGAGGCAGAGATGGTATTGCCCCATGACTTGCATCCTCTGACTAGAGTCCCAGTAAGACCAGATTCTTATGAGCTGTCAGATACACCTCTTTGTTTCATCTTATCAAAAAGCTTATGGTGGTTCACTTGGTCAGATGCATTGGATGCATCTATGATGCTTCTTAGCTACAACTGTGCGGTCTCCTTCAGTCCATACAGTATATGCATAAAGCAGTTCTCAGCTTGGTTTGGAAGCCAACAGGTTATCCATTGTGCCCGTACAGTGTCCCAGGTGATGGAGCAATACTCCAGGCCTCTGGAGATTACACTTGCTGGCACATCTGCTCCATTAATCTATAAACCACAATTGTTTGTGTCATTTCAGGAAAATTGACAAGTCCGGACAAGGACCAGCTAAACCAGAACTAAACCAGGACTGTGTCATGTCTAAACCAGGTCCTGCCCACAAAGTCTCTGCGAGAAGTGACTTCTCCAAAGGTTTTCAAATTGATTTTAAAAAAGGACAAACTGGATCCTCTTCACAGCTCGGATCAGTCTCACAGTTTAAGGAGGACTCGCATATGGGGTATGAAGTAAATCAGGTCTTAACAGGACTAAACTAGATCTAATGGAGAGCTAAACCAGGACTAAACCAGCACTAAACCAGGACTAAAGTAGGACTAAAAGAGGGCTAAACCAGGACTAAATTGTGATGGTAAATGGTCACATTTTTATTTAGAGCTTTTCCACCTTTAATGCTCAAAGCGCTCACCCATTCACGCACACAGGCATACACCACTGTACACAGACACCACGACTAAACCTGCAGGTGGAAGTGCACAAGTACAAATGCATCATCGTCTTGTTGTTACCAAGGCCAAACTCCTAACAGTTTATTTTTTCTGATTTTAAGCACACTTTTAGATCTAAGAAAGATCATGGCAGTTCATAACTCTGTTTTTATCTGGGTCTGGTCAAACTTTGTGTTTTTTTCTAATAAGACCAAACATTGTAAAAACTCAATAGCTTTAAATATTTAGCTGACATTTTCTGCAGTAGCACTTCCATCTTTGCCATTTAGCTTTTTACAATGTTTGTTTTATTAGAAGAAAACACATTTCTATATCAAAAGAAGACAAAAAATAATTTATTAAATAGAACTGGTCCAACAACCTTTAGCCACGCCTCCACTTACCTTCACAGCGACATCCGTGACAGTTCTGATACAGTTCACTTCTTTGTGTGTGTGTGTGTGTGTGTGTGTGCGCGTGTGTGTGTGTGTGTGTGTGTGTGCGTGCATGTGGGTGATACTGTGGATGTGACTGTCTGTGAGTTGATTGTGTGGAGTGGGGCAGTTGTGGGGGTAATGTGGTAGAAGGGCATGTGCGGTTGTTTTTTAATGACTTTAAAGCATTTTGTTACATTTTTAAATTTTTTTGTTTTGTTTTATATTTTACATAAATAAAGTTTGATTTGACTTGATGAACCAAGACTAAACCAAGACTAAACCAAGATTCCGTTGTTATTGGTCAACAGAGAGGAGGATCCGAGTGTTCCCATTGGTCAGGAGTCTCAGGCGGAGGTGGATGCCATCTTCCAGGTCTGTGCTGTGAAAGTGTTTCTGTGATTATTTTAAGATCAGACTCTGGGTCACACATGTTTAAACAGCACAAACATATCACACACTTTATGTATGTTTTAGTTTAAATGATCCAAAAAATAAGCACACAGATATGAGATAGAGACAGCTAGGCCTGTGGGATGGATGAGTTTTTTGTTTTTTTTATCTGAGGCTTTTGATCCACCATTCACTGCACACCAAATGGAGCATAAAAAGAATGAAGTCAATAGAGATTTCTGGAAAGAAATAGGGTCTTGTCACACACGCAGCTTCTGCTTAATCCTTCAGAGTGTGTTTGGTGGGCAGGAAAGGCCTGTGGAGGATGTGCAAATGTGTTTGGATTTAGTAGGCCGCCCTTGTTGGAGCTGTTCTTTGCGCAGGATTGATAATAACGTAAAATTCATTATCCTGTAAGTATGTAAAACTGAACCAGAGCGCTTCACAGCAGCAAGCTCCTGTTATCCAGCTCCTTTTATTCAGCTTCCTTTATCCAGCTTCTGTTACCTGGCTTTTGTTATCTGGCTCCTGTTATCCAGCTCCTATTATCCAGCTTCTATAATCCAGCTTCTGTTATCTGGCTTCTATTATCCAGATTGTGTTATTTGGCTCCTGATATCCAGTTCCTGTTGTGCGGCTTCTGTTATCCGGCTCCTGTTCTGTTTTTCTATTTTATTTTTACTTGTACATATACATTTATATCATTGTGCCTTACTTGACACCAGTCTCTTTATGCCAGACTTTATTATTACCATTTCAATTTTTTACTCATTGTTATTATAATAAAAAATATAATGTGATTTGTGAGCTACTGTAGGGCTGAGCAATAAGGAGAAAATTATTCTTTTTTTCCCCCCATATTGATCACTCTCGATATTCGACCTTCAGTCCTATTCGTCAGGATACTGTTGGTGGGACCAGTATTTCCAGAGAAATCCACATTTAAAATTTGGAAGGAATGAATTTGTACAGTACATTAAACCCAAATGTTTGCACGCGTTACAGTTAGCGATGGACATACATGTACCAATTGTTCAAATTTAAATTCACAAATTGCATGAAATGTATAAATGAAATCAGTCAACTCACTGCATCAGTGAAATAAATAAACACAATATTTTAACTCTTCAACTGAAACCTTACATACACAAGGATCAAAATACAAAAAGAAAAAAAAAAAGTAAAATATAGTAGACTGATTCATCAGCTGGTTTCACTTTGTGGTCTGACCTCGCAGCATTAGGATTCGTTCGCACAATGGTAGACGGGTACTTTTAAATTAAACCAATCGCCTCTGTTTGGTAGTCACGTCTGTAATGTGCTGCTAACGGGGGTAACTGGTATATTAAGCTTTTCCCAAATCCCATAGGAAGAAGGACAATAACATCTTTCCCCTTGATAAAATTCACCGAACATTCTTTGTTCCAGCTTTAAATCCGCAATCTCGGGAATCGTTGCCATCACAGAATGTCTGGCTCTTTGCTGATTGACTGGTGCCCACACTTGCACTTCCAGGGTTTTTGCAAAATGTCTAGTGTATTCTGATTCCTGACCTAGTCGCTGGAGAGAAATGAAATTGAGCAGAGGCACTAGGTGGTGCCAAATATAGTGCCACTATTGTCAAACTGAGGTTTTTGGACCTTTTTTGTTAATTGCAAACCCTCAAATGGGACTTAAGTAACTAATTGTAATTAAGTAATTGCAATTAAAGGTTGTATGGAGGATTTTTTTTTTTGTTTCAAGTTGTCAATGATAGCATTATAGAGGTGCAGTAGCCTTGTAATTATGATGACCAAAAAAAAGAGAATAAAAATTCATCAACTCTGGACGTGGTGGGGCTCAACATTTGCCAATAGATAACGACACTGCCTCGTTATCTGTGAGCTGACAGGCTGTCAATCAATCTCCCTACGTTTCTAGTGTAACTGACTTGCCTGCGCGCCGCCGGTACGTGGTTTACGTACGCCTGTCACGCAGTCCACAGACGCAAGACTCACTGACGCTGTTTACTCCACCAACGCAACAGTTCTTAGCGGCTTTTTTTTACCTATATCTTCCTCGCAGTTCGCACAAAGTTTGTTGCAATGGCAGACAAGAATCCAGGAGCAGTTAGCCGCAAAAGAAAGTCCGTTTTTGAGGTCGCTGAAAGAAGAAGACAAGGGGAAAAGCAGCGAAGCCAAACTAAGGTGATTCTTGAAGATTCATTCCAGCGATGGCGCGACTGAAGCAGACGAAGGGTCTAAAGACGCATTGGTCGCCAAATTACTCCTGGACAGGTCACTTCTGCTTATTATGAAAACGTACTTTATTTCCAAGAGCTAGTCAAACGTTTTTCAGGACACGAAAGCGATATCCTATGTCTGAAAACGTAATTTTCAAGGCAAAGAAAGAGTCCGCTTGCTGCTGCGTGTTGTAGCTAGTTCATTCGCACGGAATCTCCGCGCAACCTTCTCTGCTCCCCTTTCCTGCTCCTGTCCCCGCTGCCCGATCCGCTCTTCCCCCTGCTCCTCACTTCTCCAGGCACGGAATCTCCGTGCACCGCTCCCCTCTCTCCTCTCCTCTCTCCCTGCTCCGCTTTTCTCCCTGCTCCTCACTTCTCGTCCGCGAACGAAATGTCCGCACACCCGCTCCTCACTTCTCCACCTTGCCTAACCAACACTGTAGTTAGTTGTTTACAAGTCATGTGCAGCGCACCGGCTGTAAACAAACCTGTTTCTGGCGTAAAGAGGAGGCGGGAGGAGGCGTTTCTACGTAGGGAGCTGTAGGGGAGGGGGGGTGGTTTCACACATGCGCAACATTTGAAAAAGGACAAACAGTCACTGGATTTCTCGTTCCTTGGAAAATCCTCTATACAACCTTTAATAAAAATATATTGTTAAATAAAAGAAAAATTTAATTACCTATCAGATTATAATGGCAACAAATGTCCCAGTATATATATATGCAGCTTTTGAGGTCCAAATCAGTCTGCTGTGTACTGCCTGTCTCTAAATATAAAGCATTTTATTGTCAGTATCAAGACGTGTGTGGTGGCTTTGCAGGCAAAATTATTTTCTGGTCTGGTCTGAAAGATATAAAAAACACTTACAGGCTCACTGTGGTGATTAGAGTGCTCTGACTGCATAAGGTGAGGAATTATTCTAGACCACTGTAAACAGTTTAACATGGACTAGTCCTGTTTCTCATGTTTTAAGTTCTTGTCTGTGAGGTGAGGTTTCTGTGGAAATCCCTGCCTTATCTGCGTAAGTGCAGATGGAGTTAGCAGTGGGTACATTCAGGAGGAGGGTGCCCAATTCGTCTTGTATAACTAGATTTGTGACAGAGCTAAAAATGGCCATGTTCATTTATGAACACAGTCTACGGTTGACATCCTTATTGAGCTGATTAGAACATCTCAGTCCCTTTCTTTATACAGTCTGTGGTTCCAGGATGTGAAGAAGCGGGTCCTGAGTTTTGTCGAACAACAGCTGGAAAGGCTCCACATGCTCCTGGCCCCAGATCATCCAAAACACTCTGAGAGTGAGGAAGAGGCGAGCAAAGAGGTTCTGACCATCACCATGGACATCCTGAAGGAGATGGATCAGGAGCTTCTGGCCCAACGCCTTTCTAGCAGTAAAAATCTCCAGATGCCTTCCCATCTTCCTGCATCCTTGTGTGTCAGATGCCCTCTCATCTTCCTGTATCCCTGTGTGTCAGATGCCCTCTCATCTTCCTGTATCCCTGTGTGTCAGATGCCCTCCTATCTTCCTGTATCCCTGTGTGTCAGATGCCCTCTCATCTTCCTGTATCCCCGTGCGCCAGATGCCCTCCCATATGAAGTATGTCTAACATTATACCTCTTGTATCTTGTTTAAAGGGACTACAGTTGGATTCAGAGATAAACTGAAGTCTGATCTGCAGCAGAGGTTCAATCAGAGGTTCAGTCATGTGTTTGAGGGCGTAGCTAAAGCTGCAGACTCTGTCCCCCTGAACCAGATCTACACAGAGCTTTACATCACAGAGGGCGGAACCTCAGAGATCAACCAGGAACATGAGGTCAGACACATGGAGACCGTGTCCAGGAGACCTGCTACTCCAGAGACCATCACATGTGAAGTCATGTTTAAAACCATGCCACATTCATCAGGGCCAAACAGAGTGGTGCTGACGAAGGGCGTGGCCGGTGTGGGGAAGACAGTGCTGACTCAGAAGTTCAGTCTGGATTGGGCTGAAGGCCGGGCCCACCAGGACCTCAAGCTGCTGTTCCCGTTCACTTTCAGAGAGCTCAATGTGCTCAGAGACACACAGTTCAGCCTGGTGGGACTGCTGCATCACTTCTTCGGTCCATCCAAAGATCTCTGCAGCTTCCAACATCAGATGCTCTTCATCTTTGATGGACTGGACGAGTGCAGACCTTCTCTGGACTTCACCCAAGCACAGCACCTGACCGACCCCACAGAGATCACCTCAGTGCATGTGCTGCTGGTAAACCTCATCAGAGGAAGCCTGCTTCCCTACGCTCGCCTCTGGATAACCACGCGACCCGCAGCAGCCAATCAGATCCCTGCTGAGTATATCTTCATGGTGACAGAGGTACAAGGGTTCACCGACACACAGAAGGAGCAGTACTTCAGGAAGATGTTCAGAGATGAGGCCAACAAAATCATCTCCCACATCAAAATGTCCAGAACTCTCCACATCATGTGCTACATCCCAGTCTTCTGCTGGATCCTCTCCACTGTTCTAAAGAAGCTTCTGGAACAAACAGAGAGACCAGAGCTGCCCCAGACTCTCACACAGATGTACGCCCACCTTCTTACAGTGCAGGCCAAAGTCCAGAACATCAAGTATCACCAGGGATCAGGGACAGATATTCACTGGACTCCAGAGATCAGGGAGATGGTGTGGTCTCTGGGAAAAGTAGCTTTTGAGCAGCTGCAGAAAGGAAACCTGATCTTCTACGAGTGTGACTTGGAAGACAGCGACATTGACCTCACTGCCGCCTCAGTGTACTCCGGAGTGTTCACACAGGTTTTTAAAGAGGAGAAAGGCCTGTACCAGGAGAAGGTGTACTGCTTCATCCATCTGAGTGTGCAGGAGTTTCTAGCTGCTCTTCACGTCCATCACACCTTCTTCAGCTCTGGAGAGAACCTACTGAAGCCACCACAGTCTGGATTAAAACGTAAAAGAAAAAGAAAAAACACTTTGACACAAGAAACCACCAAGGCACTAGACCTTGAGGCAGCCTTTTACTGCTCTGCTGTGGACCAGGCCTTACAGAGTCAAAACGGACACTTGGACCTGTTCCTGCGCTTCCTCCTGGGACTGTCTCTGTCTACCAATCAGAAGCTGCTGCAGGGTCTGCTGACTCCCTCAGGAAGTGACCAGGCCAATGAAGAGACAGTCAAGTACATCAAACAGAAGCTGAATGAAAAGGGTCTGTCTACAGAGAGAGGCCTGAACCTGTTCCACTGTCTGAATGAAATGAATGACCGCAGTCTGGAGGAGATTCAGAAGAACATGAGAAAATACCTCTCTGATAGAAAGATGTCTCCTGCTCAGTGGTCTGCTCTATCCTTTCTCTTACTGTCCTCAGACTCAGACCTGGAGGAGTTTGACCTGAGGAAATACCAGGCCTCAGAGAAAGCTCTCCTGGGTCTGCTGCCGGTGGTCAGAGCCTCCACCAAAGCCCTGTGAGTACAGAGTGTATATCAGCTCTTGTGTGGTGTTTCTAGTCTCTAATGTCCCTCTGTCTCCTCAGTCTGTGTGGCTGTGGCCTGTCCCCGTACAGCTGTGGTCCTCTGGTCTCAGTCCTCAGCTCCTCCAGCCTTACACATCTAGATCTCAGTCATAACGACCTCCAGGACTTAGGAGTGGAGGAACTGTCGTCTGGACTAAAGAGCGCCCCCTGCAGACTGGAGACACTCAGGTGAGACGCTCCCACGGTGCTCTCTGCCCCTTTGTGTCCACATGAGTATAATGCTTTAATGCTGTGTCTTTAGGCTGTCTGGATGTCTGCTCTCAGAGAGGGGTGGGGCTGCTCTGGCCTCAGCTCTGGGCTCCACCCCTCCCTCTCACTTGAGAGTGTTAGACCTGAGCTACAACCATCTAGGACCCTCAGCAAAGCTCCTGACTGCTCTACAGGACCACAGACCCCGGCTGTGTGTCAGGTGAGATTAGGCCTGTCACATTAAATACTATAACACAGGAGTTTCTCTCTGTAGCAATATATTGTGCTTCACAATAAGTTAACAGGTGTAGGTGAGACCACCCCCTGCTGTCTGTCAGACGAGACTGACTTTTGAGACCACCCTGGTCTGTGGTCCATGGTTGGTCCTGGTCTCTGGTCTTTGGTCCATGGTTGGTCCTGATCTCTGGTCCTGATCTCTGGTCCTGATCTCTGGTCCTGGTCTCTGGTTCTGGTCTCTGGTCTCTGGTCTCTGGTTCTGGTTTCTGGTCTGGTCTAAAATGGAGTTGTGTGTTTCAGGACGGAGCCTTCTGGAGAGCGCTGGATGGTCCCAGGTCTGAGGAAATGTGAGTCTGCTTTTAGTTCATTCATACAGTAAAGTGCATGTAACAGGTCATATCATTACATTAATTATGATAAAAATTTGTTAAATCTTGCCTAGTTTTCTTTAAAGAGTTATTAAAGATCACCTCTATCCTATACAATGCTATGAAGACAAAGCAGTTGACCTTGGATGATCCAGCTGAGGAAGACTATAGCAAATTCAAGTTTGACCTAAGTTGTCGAATTTCAGATCTTAAAGCAGCACGACTGTTGGCATCAGAAGTCACCTCAAAAGTAGCATCTTTATATAACTCATTAGTTAAGGAAATAGAGTTAAGGGAAATGCGAACTGCAGCAATTGCAAGACCTTTAGAAATAAATGAGACTGAAAAAGCACTAAGAGCCGCCATCAAAAAGTGCGTTCAGACTGCAGCTTGAAGTGACCCAAATCCGTTTTTTTGGCTTCTATGTGACCTGTATCCGATCTTTTAATGACAGTCTGAACAACACAGATCAGATTTTTTTCAAATGCGACCCAGGCCACTTGAGATATGTGGTCCTGAAACCGATACATATCCGATCTTTTCACATGCGACTTCAGTGTGAACGGCCAAAACGCATTCATTCGACCTACGTGTTATCAACAAGCCACAAACGTCACTATTCTGCACTGAAGTAGGCGAAAATTGTTAATGAACTCCATGTCACTGAAGTGAAGCACATCACCACTCACCACTCTTGGCTACGTCTCCACATCCACATGTTCCTTTCAACGGACGTCGCTGCCGCTGTCCCACAAAACACCAAAAACCTCGTCCTTCTACTTCTCAATCTCCTCCTTAAAACAAGTAAGTTGTACATGTTCTGGCTCCGGTACGAGAGGAACTTTAAAATTGCCAGGTGCTCAATGCTCGGGTCCATGTTTGGACAACTTCCGTAAACATAGAGCATGCTCACTGCGGTTGATGTCATCGTGTCCTCCAGTGTGCATGCGGGACACTTTCAGGCCGTTTACTGTTCACACAGGGGATCGCATACAAGTCGCATTTAATTGGAAATATGAACGACCTCGCAAAAACATCGGATTTCACAAAAAAATCGGGATTGAGCGTTAAGCCCTGCAGTCTGAACATAGCCAAAGAGGTTTTGGAAAATGTGGAGAAAACTAAAGAAATGCTGGGCAACGTTGTTTCTGATGAGGCGAGCCTTGATGCAAAGATCGAAAAAAAGAGACAGGAATTGGATGAGGACACCAGAGATTTTGTAAATGCATGTCAGGTTTGCAATCAGTCTAAGTCTACACACCAAGCACCTGCTGGCCATCTTCTTCCCTTACCTGTTCCCGACCGGCCTTGGTCCCATATATCCCTGGACTTCGTCACTGGCTTGCCGGTTTCCAGTGGACACACCACCATCCTGACTGTAGTCGATCGCTTTAGTAAGATGGCCCATTTCATTCCTCTGGCCAAACTCCCTTCTGCCAAAGAGACGGCTGAACTCATGTTGTAGCATGTGTTTCGGCTACACGGACTCCCCACTGACATAGTCTCTGATCGGGGTCCACAGTTCACCTCCATCTTCTGGCGTGAGTTCTGTTTACTTCTAGGAGCCACTGTTAGCCTTTCATCAGGCTACCATCCTCAGTCCAACGGCCAGACTGAGAGATTCAACCAGCAGATGGAGACAGTGCTGCGGTGTATGGCCTCCAGGAATCCGTCTTCCTGGTCCCAGCAACTACTCTGGGTCGAGTACTCCCACAACACGCTGAAAAGCTCTGCCACTGGTTTTTCCCCATTCCAATGTGCTTATGGTTACCAACCACCCCTGTTCCAGTCTCAGGAAAAGGAGGTTTCTTGCCCCTCTGTCCAAGCCTTCATGAAACGCTGTCACAGAACCTGGAAACAGGCCCGGACTGCTCTGCTCACCTCTGCCCGTCGCTACTCTGCATCAGCCAACCGCCGCCGTTCTGAGGCTCCTGCATACCAGGCTGGTCATATGGTTTGGCTCTACCAAGGACCTAGCACTCAAGGTGGATTCCAAGAAACTAGCTCCTAAGTTTATCGGCCCTTTTGAAGTTGAGAGGATGGTCAATCCAGTGGCTGCGCGTCTCAAGTTGCCAAAAGCTATGCGGATCAATCCCACCTTCCATGTCTCAAAGTTGAACCTGGTTTGAGACAGTCCTCTTGCCCCTGCCTCACCCCCGCCTCCGCCTACTCGTCTGATTGATGGAGAACCCGCGTACACGGTGAGGCGTCTGCTTCGTTCCAGACGGCGTGGTAGGGACATCCAGTACTTGGTTGACTGGGAGGGGTATGGGCCTGAGGAGCGTTCTTGGGTGCCTGCCAGCTTCATTTTAGACCCTCTTCTTATTAAGGACTTCCATGAGCAACATCCTGAACAGCCTTCAAAGGGCTCTTCAAGTTCTCATACGGTTCCTTCTGCTACCCTGGGTGATCCATCTGGGGAATCTGACCTTTCAGAAGAATTCTGACCCTCCTCCAGGCCCCCTCTTTCCACCCGTGGTCGGCCTTTTGGTTTTGGGACGTCAGGAGCCATCGCTTGAGAAGGGGGTTCTGTCACAGTTCTGCCTTTTTGTTTACATGTTTTCCCCCAGTCTGTTACGGTCCTCCTTTTGCTACCACCCTCCTTTACCTGCAGCTACCTCTCATTCCGTAATCAGCCCAGACCAGTCTATATATACTCCCTCTTCTCCCTCAGTCTTTGCCAGATTGTCAACCTGAAAAGACCGACACTCAAGCTCCTGACAACCCTGAATCATAACCCCTGAATCTGATCTGTTTTCTGCTTCTGAAATTCTGAGTTTCCCTGTTTGTTGTCCCTGTTCTTGAGTTTTTTCCAGTCTTGGAAGATATTTTCTTTCACACTTAATATCATATATTCCTCTGTTGTATTTCCAGTCTGAGTTGCCATTATAAACATTTCCTGTTATAGGATACTTTCAGTTATTTAAATAAGACTTTGTTTGCAGGTGTACATGTGTTGCATTTGAGTCCAAGTTACCTGCGTGATAGTACAATCTGGCCAGTATGGACTCAGCACACAATGAGATTCTGTTGGAGCGGCTTGCCAAGCTAGAGGCTAGTTTGCAGCAACAGCAGGTCGAGCTAGCATCTACTGCTTTTGCAGCTCGTCAATCAACTGTAGCAAGTGAACAGAACATTGCTAATTTGACGGCTCAGATCCAGCAACTGGCAGTTACTATTGCCCAGTTAGTTTCTGCTGTTCCTCCCGCTCCAATCACTCCTACACCACAGCCTTCAGTTGAAGTGATTGCACCTAGGCCGGTTTCCGAACCCAGAGTAGGCACACCTGAACGTTATCGGGGAGACCCTGAAGGGTGCAATCCATTTTTGACCAACTGTACCATTCTGTTTGCCTTACAACCACACACATTCTCCACAGAGAAAGCCAAGGTGGCATTTGCTATTAACCATCTTACTGAAAGGGCTAGACTGTGGGGGACTGCTGAGTGGGAGCGTCAGACAGCATCAGACGCCTTTGCAAAAGAACTCCGCAAGGTGTTCGGAGCCAGATCCTCTGGACCCGATGCGGCTGGTGGTCTGATCGGGTTGCGACAGGGGGCCCGCTCTGTTGCTGACTACTCAATTGAATTCCGTACCCGGGCCCTTCAAAGTGAGTGGAATGTCAGAGCTCAGACCGATGCCTTTCTCTTGGGTTTGAATGACCACATAAAGGATGAGTTGGTTTCTTATGATCTCCCCTCGGATCTTGATCACTTGATAGAACTGGCAACCAAGCTAGATCGTCGAATCCAAGCTCGGTGACAAGAGAGAGGACTGAAACTTTCTAAACGACAACCAATTCCCCATTCACGTCCCACATTAGATATCAGTCAGTTTGTCAGTCACCCCCCGTCTCCTCATGTTGGAGGTTCAGAACCCAGGCAGCCAGGCAGAACCTGTCTTTCTTCTGAAGAGCGACATCGTCGTCGTCAGGAGAATCTCTGTCTCTACTGTGGGAGGCCTGGCCATGTTGTCTCTAGTTGCCCAGTAAAAGGGGCAGGCTCATCTGTAAAGACGGGAGTACTGATGAGTCTATCCTCAACTCCCTTCCCTGTTAAACGCCCCCAGTTTCAAGCTCGTCTGCTGCTCAAGAGTGGAACTCACACAGTGACCACTCTAATCGACTCAGGGTCTGACATTTGCCTTATAGATGAGAACCTGGTCCAGCAGTTAAAGATAAATTCTGTTCCTCTCCCAGCACCTGTACCTGCTAATGCTCTGAATGGGAGACTTCTGGGCTCCATAACACACCGCACTGTTCTTGTTCACCTGCTTATGGCCGGCAATCACCATGAGACAATCCAATTTTACATCTTCAGAACCCCATAATCCTCAGTTTCCCTTGGCTTCTCCGTCACAATCCCCAAATTGATTGGTCTACCAGTTCTAGCTGGAGCCAGTCTTGCTACCAGATCTGTCTTAAGCAAGCCATTCCAGTAGTACTACCAAATGAAAACACTAGTTCTCTCCCAGATTTAACAGGTGTTCCTGAAGAGTACCATGACCTCAGAGAGGTTTTCAGCAAGGCCAAGGCAACATCACTTCCCCCACATCGTCCTTATGACTGTACCATGGAGAAGTATGTCAATGAGTCATTGGCTGCAGGAATCATCCGTCCCTCTTCGTCTCCCGCTGGTGCCATTTTTTTCTTTGTTGACAAGAAAGACAAGACACTCAGACCTTGCATAGACTACAGAGTGCTAAACAGTATTACAATCAAGAACTGTTACCCTCTGTCACTCATTTCTTCGGCGTTTGAACTCTTGCAAGATTCTGTAATTTATACTAAACTAGACCTTACCATCTTGTCCGGATTCGTGAGGGGGATGAGTGGAAAACGGCCTTTAACACGCCTACTGGACATTATGAGTATTTGGTTTTCATAGATACCACTTGAGGCAGTAGCACAGACCGAAGCTGCTGTTCCGACAAAGTGCATTTCCTGTGGATCATCATGTCTTTTAGAGATTTAAGAAATTTCACAGAAATGATGAGAGCGTTAGGGTACCCTCGGCTGATATCAATGGAAAATTTTCGAACACCCAACTTTACCTTAGTGGCGGAAAATCTAATTTGGCTTGTGAAAAGATATAAGCCTCAAAATATCATCAAAGTGGTTAAACACCAAGCACCTCTATCAAGCTGATGGATATTCAGTTAAGGTAATGCCACAACTGTTACCAAACAACAATTCTGCAAGCAAGGGCCAAAACTTATCTTATGTTTATTATACTTTCTTATACTTTCCTCTCAAACATCTAAAGCAGGCATGTCTAAACTATGGCCTGGGGGCCAAATGCGGCCCTCAGACAAATTTTTCTTGGCCCTCAGACTTCCAGGTATTTTGGCCCAAATTACCTTGCATCAATTTAAAAAAATAAATAAATAAATACTGCAAGTTTTTTTCAAAAATCGACCTTGATAAAGCTACTCTTTAATATTTAGTGTGTGGTTTTCAGGATCTTAGCATGAATAAAAACAGATGGCTCATTCTAATGTGTTAAACATGCACACATTTCAATTATTCACTGTATTGAGCATCAGTCTATGGCCCTCGATCAGCCCTCTGCTTCATCTGTGTTTAGATATGTGGCCCTTGATTAAAAAAGTTTGGACACCCCAATCTAAAGTATATTAATGAACAGAAGAAATATACATGTATCCTGCACACTTAATGTACATGACACTTTTTTATTATTTAAACTCAAAAAGGAGGGGGAAGATGAAAACTTAAATGCCATCCCTGTCTTCCATTAGAGCACAAGTTAAATGCTTTGCTGAAACTTCTCTTTCAGTCGAACAAAGAAATATATAAATGAATTCTATTCATAGCAATAACTGCATGAAAAGGTCACTGATAATAATTTAAATGTATGGTGTTACTTTAAGTCGCTATTGGACATTTTTAAGCCACAACAAGAAAATACAATAAAAATGGTAAGGTAATGGTAATGGCAACAAGCATAAAGTACTACCAACAATGACTATATGACAGTACATTTAGGGCGCTTTCACAGCACTAGTTTGATTATTTGGTCAGCACCACGCAATAGTTATTATGTAGCATAAAGACTCCAGTGTGGTCCTTTCACACCTGCAAACCAACCAAACTTGGTCTGATTGACATACTGTATATCCAAGGCTCCTGCGCGCAGCGGGTTCGAATGGACGTGGCTCGAGGCTGAATGCCAGACCTCTTGGAAGCATACACACACGCTGCCCGGTTGATCCTGCCAGTAGCACGTGTTTGTCTTAAAGTTGAAGCCATGCAAGTCTAAGTCCACACGGCCGGTACAGGGAAACTGCAAATGTCTCATTAAATCAGTTATGGTTCCTTTGATCGCTCTACTGTTACTTGGACCACTTTTGGCCACCATTCGAGGTTCACCTCATGTCTTCTCCACCACAAACAGGAAATGAAATAATTAGTATCCCCTCCCATGATGCTTTTCGAATAGTTCTTTTGGACCTACTGTTTATGATTTGGACCCAAGTTTGCATTCTCACCAGAGAGACTGCACCAGAGTTTGGCATTTGTTGCAGAGTCAAGTGGACCGAGGCCACCTCTTTTTTGAGGTCTCGGTCCACTTGATTTAGTCTGGATCTGAGTGCGATTGAAGCTTTCACACCAATGAAAACAAACTGAAATAAGAGCTTCTGGTTCAAATGGAATATTTGATACACACCATCTGCTGTCGGTGTGAAAGGACCCTTAAACTCGTCTCTCTCTCTATTCAGACCAGACCACGTTTTTATAGATGCTTCTTATAAACATAAATTTATGAATATTTTGACATTGCTTTTTGTTTAAATTCCAGAGCATTTAGAACAAAATAATAAGATGAAATGTTTTGTGTTTCAGACTCACAGGAGTTCTCCCTGGACCCAGACACAGCTCACAGACACGTACTTTTGTGTGAGAACAATCGAACTGCGATACATGTGAAGGAGGAGCAGCAGTATCCAGATCATAAGGACAGGTTCACAGACTACTATCAGGTCCTGAGCTGCACAGGCCTGAAGGAGCGTTGGTACTGGGAGGTGCACTGGAGAGGGCAGGATGTTGAAATAGCCATGAGTTACAGTGGGATCAAACGAAGCGGACGGGGACTGGAGTGTGGGTTTGGAAACAATGATCAGTCCTGGAGCCTGGAGATCTATGATGAAGAGTACTATGTCTGTCACAACAACAACGCAACACGACTCCACCGCTCCCATAGCTCAGAGAGAGTGGGCGTGTCATCTGGTAAAGGAGATGTGTCCTCTGGCAGAGTGGGCGTGTTCCTGGACTATGAGGCCAAAGCTCTGTCCTTCTATGAGGTCTCCTCTGATGGAGAACTGTTCCACCTCTGGACCTTCTCCTCGTCCTTCTCTGAGCCTCTGTTCCCTGGGTTTGAACTGGGGAGAGAAGGCTCCTCTGTGACTCTGGTGAAAGAGATGAGACAATGAACTCTTCTGACCAAACAGAACCACAATGAGGACAAAGCGATGAGAAAAGGAGGGAGTATTTTATATCTATGGGGTATTAAAGAAGAAATACTTTATTTCTATCAGGAATTAACTGCTAACACATAACATATTTAGCTCACCGTGTTACCTTTTATTGTTTTGAAATGGTGTATTTGTCCAAAACAATGTATTACCATGTTCTAAAAGTTTCACTTTCATTTTTACTGCTCTGAGCCCCCCTCCCTTTGCTCCCTGCGCTAAGTAACTCCCTCTTGAGAGTGCTATCACAACACAATGGTGGCGAGGGTAGATGCAGCAACCTCTTGCTCTGAAATAGTGCTGTGTTTTTATTGGTCAAAATGAGTTTGTCTGAATGTTTTTCTCGTCAGTCTACACTGGAATATAAGTACAGTCGACAGGCAGTGTTAGAGATTCATAAAACCAAAAGCGAGAGCCAAATTGTCCCGGGGAATCAGAAAAGCAAGAAAGGAGTAAAAACATAACTTCCCTGTTCAAGGACAGCAGAGATGCAAAGAGCTTATGGCCGACCATCGCCATCATCGACTACAAGCCTGTGCCACAGAGCTGCGAGAGCAACACCTCTCTGGTCAATGATCTGAACAGCTTCTTTGCAAACTTTGAAACACAAAACTTCAAAGCCACCATCATCATACCTGTGCCAAAGAAACCATCCCCATCCTGACGCCCATCATTATGAAGTGCCCCACCCTGGACCCCTTCCAGTTCACATACTGTGTGACTGAGCTCCTCACCTGATCTCTAAGGGAGCCCCCAGCCAACTCATTTCAACTGCTTGTATCCGCAATCTTGTCCTTCTGGTCATTACCCAAAGCTCATGATCACAGGTCAGAGGGTAGGAATGTAGATTGACCGATAAATTAAGAGCTTTGCCTTTCAAATCTTTCAAATCAGTTGGATTTAAGTTTGCTTTTGTTGAATGTAAGTTTTGTGTAAGTTTTTGCTGCTTTTTCTACAGGAATTGTACAAAAATGCATAGAAAATAAATATCTTGAAGTTGGTACTCTGAAATTGTACCTTTGTGCTTTTTATTTGTCGTGTACTACACATGGATGTAATACACATACAATAACACATAGTCCAACAATCACACTCAAAATAAATATGAATAGCATTAAAATAGTGGCGTTAATAAGAACTACTAGATTGGGTTTGTTGAAACTTGCTTAAATTTTTAAGTGCTGATCCTTGTGTCTCTATGGGGAAAATGCATTTTGAGAAAACGGCTTTTTGAAGTTACAATGTCCCAGAGAGCTCTACGGAGGTGAGGTGATTACATTCGGTATTCAAACATCTTTCGGTGCAGAGTGAACACATGCAAGCTTATGTTAAGAGATCAACCTGAACAAAAATCCAGTTGAAGTGTCTCCCCTCACTCAAGCTTTTGTAGCTTCCTTTAATTTAATGTAAATGAAAAAAAAAAAGCTTCATAAATAAATATTAATATGTATTAATGATGACACCAAACAACCGTCAGTTCACTCTGTCTAATAGATCACAGTGTGGATTGTTCCAGATATGTCTGTTTACTGCACTTAATGTCATCCTCCAACATGAGTTTACAGCACACACCTAACTAACGTCTGACACCAGTACGTGTGCTCTTCAACACTTTTACATGAGTCTTAGAGCTATTATTCATTTTATGGCCTCAAAAAGAATCTGACACACAGCCCAGAGAGACAGTATATCTTAGGTCTTCTGTGGTTGAATGAATGAACGAACATTTTCTTAGAATTGTATGAAATTACATTTTATTAAACATTTTATTTTTAAACAATATTGTACATATATAATATACATATAATAAAAACACTGCACAAAATGTGATCACACTGCCCTCTTATGGGCCACTATTCAAACTCATCTCTATTGTCCATATTACACTGGAGCAGTGAAAAGTACAGACAGTGGAGGAGGCCTTTGTCAGTTTGAAGCACTGTTACCAGTGTTGGGAAGGTTACTTTTAAAATGTAATCCCCTACAGATTACAGATTACACAATCCAAAATGTAGTTAGTAACGTAATCCATTAAATTACTTAAAGTGAGTAACGTAATCTGATTACTTTGGATTACTTGATATTGTCATGTTTTTTTAAACGACATGAATGTAATAACCACATCCTGAAAATTCTTGTTTGTTGTCTTCAAATTGTCTGAGCCCAAGTCTCCATGAATAAGCAACTGTTTACTGTAGAGAAACAAAGACCATGAGATCTGAATATAAGAGGTTTTGTCTGTTAAAAGACAGTAACAAGATCAGTCTTCCTTAATATTAAAAAATATTATTGATAGAGAAATTATTTTTTATATGAGATCACCTTAAATTATGTCAACCTACTGTTAGGTGTCATGTTGTTTAGACCTGGTTTAGTCCTGGTTTAGTCCTGGTTTATTTCCTGATTTTTAGACCTGGTTTACTCCTGATTTTAGACCTGGTTTAGACCTGGTCTAGACCAGGTCATTAGTTCTGGTTTAGTCGTGGTTTAGTCCTAGTTTAAACCTGGTTCTGTCCTGCTTTAGTCCTGGTTTAGTCCTGGTTTAGTCCTGGTGTTAGTCCTGGTTTAGTTTAGAAGTGCGGTTTACACGAGAAAACACGTTCCACACGCAGCGCACGAGACGGCGGTGTCCGCGCTGTAACTACGGAAGGAGACGTGGTCCGCGGGTTCTCAGGTTGATGACGATGATGAAGGTGTGTGTTTGTGTGTGTTTGTGTGTGTTTGTGTGTGTTTGTGTGCACGTCCACTCATGTGGCAGGTCACTATAGGACAGTAGTGCAGATATTCTATGTAGGGGTGTCAAATTATCGCGTTAATTGCGATTAATTAATTACAGTCATATTTAGCGCGTTATGTTTTTTAATCGCGTTAATCTCATTTTTAATCTCTAACTTTAGTGTTTCTGTATGTGAGTTGCTTTATTATAAAACCTGTTTTTATGTGTTGTTGGGACAACAACACACACACGCACAAACAAAAAACACATTTATACATTTTTTAATTTCGGCAATTCCACTCATTATCGGAAACCCACACAAAACACGCGCAGTAAGAGCGACGTTTACGGCGTCAGTTGCACAATGGACGAGGTCGAAGAGCCAGTAGAACAGAGTCAGCAGTGCACAGGTAAAAACGCATTCGTGTCTTGGAAATTATTCTCCCGACGTGAAATATAAAAGAAAATAACAAATATAAAATCGCCTACAACTTAAATGTCACTGGTGAAAACAACCTGCATAGACTCATGATGTCTGCACTACTGTCCTATAGTGACCTGCCACATGAGGGGACACGCACACACGCACGCAAACACACACAAACACACACAAACACAAACACACACCTTCATCATCGTCATTAACCTGAGAACGCGCGGACCACGTTTCCTTCCGTAGACACTGCGCGGACACCGACGTGCTGCCGTGAGCCGCGTGTGGATCGTGTTTTCTCGCGTACGCTGCGTAAACCGCGCTTCCTCCTGTGCGCCTCTAAACCAGAACTAACACCAAGACTAAAACCAGGACTAATTCAGTCCAGGACTAAACCAGGACTAAACCAGGTCTAAACCAGGACTAAACCAGAACTAAAACCAGAACTAAAACCAGGACGAAACCAGGACTAAACCAGAACTAACACCAGGACTAAAACCAGGATTAATCCATTCCAGGACTAAACTAGGACTAAAGTAGGACTAAAGCAGGTCTAAACCAGGACTAAAACAAGGACTAAAACCAGTGATCTCATATATAAAGCATTTCTCTATCAATAATATTTTTAATATGGTTAAGGAAAGACTGGACTTTTTATTGTCTTTAAGTAGACAAAAGTTCAGATTTCCTCGTCTTTGCTACTTTACAGCAAACAGTTTCTTATTCATGGAGACTTGGGCTCAACAGCCAATTTGGAGAGATTTGTTAAACAATAAATGACTTTATAAAGTCACTTTTTTTAATCTATATCAGTCTTTTGATCTGCCACAATAATGTAATAATGAATTTAAATGAAAATACCTCAAATTGAAGGCTTTTCTCAGCAATTTTTAGGTGAGATTAAAATGAGATTAATTAGATTAATTAATTACAGATCATAATTAATTAATCTCTCAATTTTTTTAATCGCATGACAGCACTAATTCTATGCAGGTTGTTTTCACCAGTGCCAGTAGCTCCTGTTTCACATTTAAGTTGTAGGCGATTTTATATTTGTTTTGTTTTTTATATATATATATATCTCACATCGGGAGAAGGATTTCCAAGACACAAATGCGTTTTTACCAATGCACTGCTGCTTCCACTGTGTGACTGACACCGCCAACTTTAACATGACGTTTACATCGCTCTTACTGTCGCATTCTGTTTGGGTTTCCGGCAATGAGTGGAATTACCAAAATAAAAAAATAAATAAATGGGAGGTAGCACAAAATGTGAAAACAGGAAAATACCGCCTTGTAATCCACTTATTTCAGCAAAGTAACTGTAATCCAATTACCACTCATTGAAACAGTAACTGTAACGGAATACAGTTACTCATAATTTGTACTCTGATTACGTAACAGCGGTACATGTAATCCGTTACTCCCCAACACTGACTGTTACATGTTAGTAAGTAAAAGGGGTATTTGCATTATGATTTCTGCTCAAACTTAAATACGACTTTAAGACTTTATGGTTAGTATTTTGTTTTTATTGATGTTCCTTTTACTTAAAAAAGACTCTGCACTCTACACTGCAAAAGCGTGAAGGCCAAGCTCAGTATAAAGAACATCCAGATATTCCAGGTATAAAACCTCAATATGAAGGTGAGCACTAAGACCAGACTTAGACTGGACTTAGACCAGACTTAAAGGGCCCATTTTACTCTATTTTCTGATCTATGTTATAATGGTGTCTCCTCCTCACAAACATACCTGGAATTATTTTCATCCACACGTTTAACACATTTCATTTAACACAGTAATCTTAAAAACTACCACTTCATTAGAGCTCATTAGAGCCTTTCCTCTGAATATCTCTGAATGAAACTGCTACACCAGCCCACCTTCTGTTCCACTCCACCTCCCAGTAACAGCGACACATCAGACTCTCTCTGCTCAGGACCTGACACCAACCACTGAATCTGTCTGGATGATCTGGATAACTCTGGTTTTCACTCATAACTGTTACTCTTCTGTTTCCATCAGACAGAGACAGTTTGGTGTGAAGTGTGTTTGGGTCCAGAGTGATTTCTGTAGAATATTGTAAGAAGTCGTCTCTGGAGCTGGGTTCAGCTGGTGCCAGTAAAACCTGGACTGGACTCAGAGTGAGCTGGAGTGTGTCTCTGAGCTTGGACACAGCTCTGGTCACTTCCTCAAAGTAGCTCCAGTCCCCTGTGTGAATGGTGTGTGTCTCTGTGCTCTGTGTGTGTGGGGACAGTGAAGTGTAGACCTGGTAAATGAAAACTGGTTATGATCCTGGGTGAGGGCGTAGCATTCGGTGGTGCAACCAGTGTGACGCCCTAAGGCCTTTCACAATGTTCCCAATAAAAATTTCTTGGTGGCAAAGGCCATTTCTTGCACAGCAATAAAAAAAATGTATGCTTGACATTTACCCATATTAATAAGTGTTTCAAGTCAGGTCCAATCCAGTTTTAGGACTTTAGGACTGGTCAGCCTAAATGAGTGTATTAGTGTAAAATGAAAATAGGAAAATTATTAATTAATAAATAAATATTGTATTTTGGAGGGAAGATTATAAACTTTATTACAAATACATATATTTTATATTCACATTTATACCCACATTTCACCTACAAATAATTCTACAAAATGATCCATGTATGATGAACAGTATATTAAAAATACATGTTTTTACATGCCATAAAATCACTTATTCCATTGTATTGTGAATTAGCTCATCTCGGTGCGGCAATGATCTGGTATTTTCTGGGCACATTGCCAAAGCCACTGGTCTCAGGAGTCAGGCTGATGCTGTCAGGACCTCCACTGCACGAGAAGGTGAAGTGCTGCAGCAGAGACACTATAACGATGAACAACTCCATACGGGCCAGGGACTCTCCAACACACGCCCTCTTCCCTGTGACCAGAGGAACACCGCAAACATAGAAATCAAATAATATAGATCACGTAGACCACAGGTGTCAAACATACGGCCCGGGGGCCAGATCCTCCCCTCCAAGACCTTTAATGTGGCCCTCGGCTGATTTTCTACTTAAATATATGAATTATATTTTCTATTAAAATATTGGTAATTTTCTGTGGTGCTGAGCATAGCAGCGTCACCAGAGCCACCAGAGTGCGTGGCCCCTCCCACCAGAGCAGCACAAAAGAACACTTGTCTCTTTCCAAACACTCTTAAAGGACGATCGTTTCGACTGTTGACTGTGACACCCTCATCAGCAAAATGTCAAAAAAAAGAAAAGTGGACGCTGAGTGCAGGATTTTCCAAGAAAAACTGACTTATTCCTATTTGCATACAAGTTCATGTTAAAACATTGTGTTGAAATAGAATTTTTCTTAAAGTTTCAGATTGTTCATAATATTATAATATTATGTAAAAGAAGTTCATCAATTAAAAAAGATTTCTGTAATAGATTTGCATTTCTCTGCACAAATATTTGAACTTATTGTTATTTTTGGGGTTTATATGCCATGAGTTTTCTGATCTGGCCCCTTTGGGATCAAAGTTGGTTGGATACGGCCCCCGGACCAAAATGAGTTTGACACCCCTGATGTAGACCAATCAACATGCATTAAATTTTACCTGCAGAAAAAGGCATAAAAGCTGGACTTGTCTTAAAGTTTCCGTTGTGATCCAGAAAGTGCTGAGGGTTAAAGGTGAAGGGAGTGGCCCATTGCTTTTCTCCTTTCAGCACAGAGTGTAGCACTGGAAGTATGAAAGTGCCCTATAACAAATACATACTGTATTATACATGTAAAAGCACATCCATGGCTTAAAGCCTATTCACAACCATTATATTAAATGTGATTTGTGAAAAGGAAGCACATGCACCTTTGGGATTGTGTAGCCCCTGAAAGTGAAGTCTTTGAGTGCATAACGGGGGAACCCCAAGGGAGCAAGGTCAGTGAAGCGCTGAACCTCGTGAATAACTGCATCGCAGAAGGAAAGGGACTTCCTTTCTTCCATGTTGGGACTACGACCTTGACCAATCACAGTGTCAATCTCCTCCTGCATTCTCTCTGAATATGGCAAAAATATCAACACATTATTAAATGAATGGTTTAAAATGGGTGCTCTGTAATAGATGCATACTCTGAATGTCGGGGTATTTGATGAGAACACTCAGAGCAAATCTGATAGTAGAGCCGGTGGTCTCTGTTCCTGCTGAAAACAGGTTAAAAACTGTAGACCACAAGTTCTCAAAGTGGAATTCGGTGTTTGGGTTGTCTCTCTCCTGAGGGAAAACACGTGTGTTAATAAACAGTGGATTTAGAGGGCTGAATTTATAAGAGGTTTATATTGGTAATCAGAAAGAATCTATGGCCCTATGGCATTTGAAGACAGTCAATTATGAGACAAATAAATTTGACATTTACCTTTAGATTTTTTTCACCATTTATATGCATATTTACAGTCCTGGATAAAATGGTTGGTACCCCTCTGGCAATGAAAGAATTTTTTTTTTTTTTTTTCTGAAATGACTGAAAAAAGCAATAATAAATAAAAATTTCCTGAAAAATAACCAATGAAAGTCAGACACTGTTTTTAAATTGTTGTTCAACAGAATAATTTAAAAAATCAAACTAATGAAACTGGCCTGGACAAAAATGATGGTACCTCTAGAAAAGATTGTAAGTAACTGAACAATAGGGACATGTTAAATTTAAGTGTGTCCTGTAATCTGCATCACAGGTGTCTTCAAACTTGTCCTCAGTCAATCTGCCTGTTGGAGACAACACTGAACATGGACCAGAGAAAGAGAAGAAGAGAACTGTGTCAGGAGACTAGAAAGAAAATGACAGACAAGCAGGTTAAAAACAAAGGCCATAAGACCATCTCCAAGCAGTTTGTTGTTCCTGTGATTACAGTTACACATGTTCTTCAGAAGTTTAAGGTCCACAGGACTGTAGCCAACCTCCCTGGACGCAGCTCCAAGAAGAAAATTTATGACAAATTGAAGAGATGGATCCAAAGAGCCCAGAACAACCTGCAAAGAAATTAAATGTGAACTCAAAGGGCAAAGTACATCAGTGTCAGATCACACCATCCATCATTGTTTGAACCAAAGTGGACTTCATGGGAGGACACCACTGTTGAAAGTAAATCATTAAAAAGTGAGACTGGAATTTGCCACAATGTATATTGACAGCCACAAAGCTTCTGGGAGAATGTCCTTTGGACAGATGAGACAAAACTGGAGCTCTCTGGCAAGACACATCAGCTCTATGTTCACAGACACAAAAATGAAGCAGACCAAGAAAAGAACACTGTCCCTACTGTGAAGCACGGAGGAGGCTTGGTTTTGTTCTGGGGCTGATTTGCTGCATCTGGCTCAGGGTGTCTTGAACCTGTGCAAGGTACAACCAAATCTCTAAACTATCATTGCATTTTGGAACGAAAAGTGTTGCCTAGTGTCAGAAAGCTTGGTCTCAGTTGTAGGTCATGGAACTTCCAACTGGACAATGACCCAAAACACACAGCTAAAAACACCCAAGAATGGCTAAGAACAAAACATTGGAGTGTTCTGCAGTGTTCTTCTGTGAGTCCAGATCGCAATTCTACTGAACATTTGTGAAAGGAGCTGAAACATGCTTTCTAGAGAAGGAACCCTTCAAACCTGAGAGAACAAGAACAGTTTGCTCACGAGAAATGGGTCAAAATACCAGCAGACCAGTGCAGAAGACTCATTGGCAGTGACTGAAATTGTCTGCTTGCAGAGTTTGCATCAAAAGGTTGTGCAACAAAATATAAAGTTAAGGGTACCATCATTTTTGTCCAGGCCAGTTTCATTACTTTTTTTTTCTTCTAATAATTCTGTTGAACCACAGGTGAAAAACAATGTTTGATTTTTGTCGGACAATTTTCAGTAATTTTTTATTTATTATTGCTTTTCTCAGTTTCAAGTAATTTCAGTGATTATTGTTGATTTTTCTTTCATTGCCAGAGGGGTACCAACAATTTTATCCACGACTTTATACATACATATAGTATAATAGTTTTGGTTACAGGAATCAAGTATAAGTATGATTCAAGCCTCCTACCTGGTTCATGCGGATAAGAAAGCAGTCGATGAAGTCTCGTGGAGAGCTGGGATCCAGTGTCTTTATGTGCTCTTCAATTTTCTCTCTATGGAATGCTCTCACCTTGTTAATTTCTGCAAATATAGCGTGATGTGGGCCAGGAAGATGATCCATCAGCCAGGGAAAGTTGTTGTAGAGCTGAAGAAAGGCAGTAACAAATATGATTTTCTATAATATTCTATGCATGTAAGATTACATTTAAACATACCTGTCCAAAGGGGGTGCTGTTAAATGTTGCAGACTTGTTTAAGCGCTGCAGTTGCTGAAGAAATTGTTTATCTCCATAGTCGAAGCGTTCCCCAAACACCAGGCAGGAGATCGCATTGGAGACAGTCTGACTCAAGATAAATGTGGGATCAAAGGGCTTCCCTGAAAAAACAAAAAGATTGAAGAATCACTCACTTCAAATCAGCAGTGTTAGCCACATATTTTCTTTCCTCAACTTGAAGCGCTCGCAGTTCATTTTGTATTTTTTGGCATCAATCCAGTTATTATCATCAGTGAATTATATAAATATTTACTTTGGTCAGTCGTGATTAGATAAGGGTCAGACTGAGCGAAAGTTAGTGTTAAGCATGTGTTATTAAGTAGACTACCTTAACAGACAGGCCTGCCAACAGAAATTTGGGGGCCTGGGGCAAGAAGTTTCACATGGGCCTCCCCTCTAATATACAGAGGTTCCAATTCTGGTTCCAGTTCAGGGCCCCTAAGACTCTGGGGCACAGGGTAATAGCCCCCTTTGTCCCCCTCTGTCTACTGCCCTGTTGACAGATCCTAAAGCCTTGTGTGAAGTATGTATATACCATTGAGTGTGTTGATGTGTCCTATCAGGTGCTTGCTCTCCTCCTGGATCCACGCTTCCATAGTCTTACGTCCCATGCCGAAGTCTTTCAGAGTGGTCAGAGTGAAGCGTCTGAGCTGTTTCCAGCGCTCACCATTACTGATGCCCAAACCTGAACGAGATGATCAGTACAACATATTACTAGTGCTGAACCCAGGATGGTTTAAAACCATATATTTGGAACAACCTAAACTTACCATAGCCCCGAGTGGCTCTGTGCAGAAAATGTACTGGAGCTCTATCAGAGAAGTCTTCTCCTTGGTCCACCAGAGCCTCCTTCACTGCATCATAGCCCACAAGAACAACAGTCCGCTGCCATCCCAGGTATATGGTCATCACAGGACCATAGGTTTTACTGAACTGCAGTTAAGAGCAAGCAGCATGTTAGATAATGCATGCACAATCAATCTGAGAACATCCAAGTGCATTCAAACGTACCTCCATAATGGATTTATATGGTGCATTTTTGTCCATAAACGGCAGGTTTCCAGCAATGGGAAGTGCCAAAGGTCCTGGAGGTAAATTACTGTTGCTTTTCACTCTAAATATCCAAAAGAGAACAAGTACAAGTGCTCCTAAGAACACTGTTGTGTACAGCTCCATGACTTCTCTCTTCTAATACTTTAGTGACTGGGGCTGGGGTGCTTGTATGTTTTACTTTGACCAAGAGTTGACAGAAGCACAGCTATAGGCTATAAGTCAACCACGTGACTTTCTCTTCACCTTTGTGCACTCACCTGATTATTGACTTTGATCTATATATATGGTTGCTATAAACTTGACCAGACATGAACTGTCTTCCAAGCAACACAAAATAATGACTTCCTTAAAAATATTTAAAATATATATTTTTTAAATACAAATGAAACTGTGAAATGTTGGTTCAACAAATATAGAAAAGTTTGAAAATGCACTGATATGGCTGATAAATGTCAACATGCATCAGGTTCTTAAAGTGAAACAAACAAAAAAAATCCAGTTTGCATCAAGCATGTCGAAAGTATTTCACTTTTTGTGATTTTTGATCATGAAATGCATTGACATCGCCACAGAAAAAGAATGCCTATTGCACCTCCCAAACGGAGCCCTACTCGTGCGCTGTGCAGCCGGACTCTACTGACAGTATTCCATGGAAAAATGTACGGACATGACCTCACAAATGTCTCATCACCATCATCATTATACATCATCTGCTACAAACTTCTACATCACCGTTATTCACTGAAGAATCATCTTAGAAGGACAATGGACACAAACTGTACATTTTGTGAACTGAAAAATGAAACCACCTCTCACTTATTTTGGACCTGCCCAGACTCTGTGTTTTTGGAAAGAATTCATAAAACATATCCACAAATTCTTATCCAATTTGACCCTAACAGATGTGCTGTTTGTTTTTTGCAGTGCATACCAAAAGTAAACAATATTATATAATTAATCTGTTCATCAAGTCACCTATCAGTTGGCTTCGTGGGAAGGGTTAGCTGATAATGTCCCCACCAAAGCTGAGACCAGACCTATGCCCTTGAGCAAGGACCAAGCAGGCTGGCAGAGGAGCTGGAGCAGAGAACAGGTGACAGGTAAGTAAAAATGCAAAAAAAAAAAAAAACACTTGGCGAAGAGCTGAAGCAAATGTTCACCACATACATTAACTGACGATCTGGAGAGAACTCAGGCTTTTATACTGGTGAGGATGAGAAAGGAGACACAGGTGAACAGGCCACCCAGGAGCAGAAGGAGGAGCTACGGTCATGCCCAGCCAGTTCCAAATAAGGTAAGTAGTGAAGTAACCTTGTGTTCAATTATCTTTTGGACCTCGGTGACGGAAAAAGTAGACTGAGTAAGGATTCCGAGTCAGACCCTGCATTCGATTATCTTCCGACCCCTACTTGGACCTCAGATTTTTTTTTCTTTAATTTGCAATTTATTCATTGCTTTTTTTTTTTGTCCATGTAAGTCACAGTATATAAGCCCCTTTTATTTCCACACATAAAATTAATATAACTGTAAAAGGTACATAAAAGAAAAGAAAAAAAAAAAAAAAAAGAAAGAAAAACAAAAATAAAATAAATTACTAAATAATAATAATACAATAAATAACATAATAAGAGCATTGATGATAATGATGATACTAAATAATGAAAAAGGATTATATTTGTATTATATTTAGGGATTTATACATACATACAGTTGTGAACAAAATTGTTGGTACCCCTCTGGTAGGGAAAGAAAAATCAACAATTTTCACTGAAATAACTTGAAACCGAGAAAAGCAATAATAAATAAAAATTTCCTGACAAATAACCAGTGAAAATCAGACACTGCTTTTGATTTGTTGTTCAACAGAATTATTTTAAAAATCAAATTAATGAAACTGGCCTTCACAAAAATGATGGTACCTCTAGAAAAGATTGTAAGTAACTGAACAATAGGGACATGTTAAATTTAGGTGTGTCTCTAATCTGCATCACAGGTGTCTTCGTCTTCAAACTTGTCCTCAGTCAGTCTGCCTGTTTAAAGGGAGACGTGTCATTCTGCTGTTTGGAGACATGATGGAGACAACACTGAACATGGACCAGAGAAAGTGAAGAAGAGAACTGTATCTGGAGACTAGAAAGAAAATGATAGACAAGCAGATTAAAGATAAAGGCCATAAGACCATCTCCAAGCTGATGTACCTGTGTTTACAGTTACACATGTTCTTCAGAAGTTTAAGGTCCACAGGACTGTAGCCAACCTCCCTGGACGCAGTTGCAAGAAGAAAATTTATGACAAATTGAAGAGATACGACTGGAACCAAAGAGCCCAGAACAAATTACAAACAAATTAAATGTGCACTTGAAGGGCAAGGTACATCAGTGTCAGATCACACCATCCATCACTGTTTGAGCCAAAGTGGACTTCATGGGAGGACACCACTGTTGAAAGTAAATCATTAAAAAGTGAGACTGTAATTTGCCACAATGCATATTGACAAGCCACAAAACTGGAGCTCTTTGGCAAGAAACATCAGCTCTGTGTTCACAGACACAAAAATGAAGCAGACCAAGAAAAGAACACTGTCCCTACTGTGAAGCACGGAGGAGGCTTGGTTTTGTTCTCAGGCTGTTTTGCTTCATCTGGCACAGGGTGTCTTGAATCTGTGCAAAATACAACAAAATCTCAAAATTAGCAAGGTTTTTTGGACCAAAATGTGTTGCCTAATGTCAGAAAGCTTGGTCTCAGTCATAGGTCATGAGTCTTCCAACAGGATAATGACCCAAAACACACAGCTAAAAACACCCAAAAATGGCTAAGAACAAAGCATTGGAGTGTTTTGCAGCGGTCTGTGAGCCCAGATCTCAATTCTATTAAGCATCTGTGAAAGGAACTAAAACATGCTGTCTGGAGAAGGAACCCTTCAAAGCTAAGACAACTAGAGCAGTTTGCTCATGAGAAATGGGTCAAAATACCTGTTGACCAGTGCAGAAGTCTCATTAACACTTACAGAAATAATATGTTTGCAGAGTTTGCCTCAAAAGGTTATGCAACAAAATATTATAAAATATTAAGTTAAGGGTACCATAATTTTTGTCCAGGCCAGTTTCATTATTTTGTTTTTTGTAATAATTCTGTTGAACCACAGGTGAAAAACAATGTTTGATTTTTGTTGGACAATTTTCAGTAAATTCTTATTTATTATTGCTTTTCTCAGTTTCAAGTTATTTCAGTGATTGATTTTTCTTTCATTGCCAGAGGGGTACCAACAATTTTGTCCACGACTGTATATACATACACATATACACATATACATACACATACATTTATACGTACATATACATACACACACACACACACATACACATACACACACACATACATGCACATGTGCATGTATGCGTACATGCACACATACATACATGTATACATACAAATAGATAAAAGAAAAATAATAATAAATAAATTACACATTCATACAGTACATTAGACTAGTACAAGAGTACACATTTTCAGCATTTCATTAGTTTGTTTTGGGTTTTTTTTTTTTTTTTTTTCCTCAACAGAAAACCACTGAAATCCTTTACATGTTGCCTTACAGTTACTCCACACTTCATACAGTTTAATTTTCTGCACCACTGTCACAGTTAGCATAGTTCAAGTAGGCTTTCCATTTGTTTTTGTTTTTGTTTTTGTTGTAAAATTCGATCTGACATTAAAGGACACCCGTTAGTATATGGCTACTTTAGCCAGTTTTGTGAACCACTCATGGAACAGTGGCTCCTCTGAGTCCTTCCAATGTCTCATTATTATTTGTTTTCCAATCACAATACTAGTTTGAATAAACGCTGATGATGGACATCTAGTGGTAATTTTTGGATCACTCAGAACGTAAAGCTGAGGGGTGAATTCAGAAGTGTTTTGGGTGATGTTTGTGGGAGTCGGAACATAATCAAACAGAGGGTAAGTGTGAGGGGAGGGATCACTGGGAGAAACAGAAAATCCAGAGTGTACTATGACAGTAGCCACAGTTCTTAAATTAAAATAAGGCTAAATTTCTTTTTACAGCTTCAATGGTGCATCTTATTTGACAGAGCTGTCATGGAGGGTTTAGGGCAGAGAAGTGAAGCACGTGACTCCTCAGCTCACCTTTGTGTCACTGACTTTTGGCTCTATTTGATTATAGCCTATAAATCTGGTTCTATCAGGTTTTACTTGACTTGACTTGTTTTATGTCCAGACTACATAATATAACATAACACCAGACACACACACACAAACAAACATTGCACGGAAAACATTTTTCCCCTTGCACAAGTCATTTAGCCTACAGAACAATAAGACTAATGGGTATTATCAAAATAAGGTGATCTTACCTGGCTGGCTCAAAAAACTCAAAAAGTAAGTCCAAGATTCACATGTTGTCAGTCATTTGTCCCGCTGTTGTTTCCACAGCAACACATGACAGCAACAGACACAAACATGAGACAAACTCACATCTGAAGAAACAAACACAAATGTTCTAATCATTTCAGATTGTCCCATAAAACTTTTGTCACAACTTTTACTTAAGTAAGAGTACTGTTACACTGTACTATATATTACTCAATTAAGAGTACTATTACACTGTACTATATATTACTCAAGTAAGAGTACTGTTACACTGTACTATATATTACTGGTACTGAGTAGGAGTAAAAGTATGGAGTCTGAGAAGTAGTTTTGGGCAATCCTTTGCACGTTTCTGTCCTGTTGAGGAATGAACAAGGGTTTTTTATCTTTTTTAAATTTCCCAATTTTAAAATGATTATTTTATTTTAGGACAGAAAAAGTCATATGAAAACTGATTTAAATGTTAGGCTCACAACACCTGGTTGAGTCCTGGTTAAGATCTCATTTGGTGACCCAGACTTCAGATAGCACCCCCTGCCTCCACTTGTGGTAAACACTGGTGCTATATTTTACAACTCTACAGTGAGTTTGAGTTTAAAAACACAGTTCCATGTACACACAGAAACACAGAACACACACAGCATCACTGCTCTAGTTTGACATGACATTTACATACACTTATTTTACATCCTTTACTGTACACCTACTTTACATACTTTACACTTACTTTATATTTAAATTTTTTACACTTACTTTACATACTTTACAATAACATTGGAAATGAATGTAGAAATAAAGTGTTTTTTTTTTTTTTTTTTTGTTTTTTAGCATTGATTCTTGTTCAGAAGAGTCTTGTTTTAATTCTAGTTTTAAAATCATTTACTGTAGTACCTTTTTGATTCCCCCATGAAAAGACTTTTATCTGAATAGTTAAAAACACAAGACACACATTTGTTCCCAAACTGTGGAAAACAAAGCTGCTATTTGAGTTTAGGGAAATGTGCAGTGTGTCTTCAGTAAAACCAATAAAGACCCCAGTGTAGAGAGGCTGAGTGAACCTGGTCTGGACTCTGGAGGCTCGTGGTACTTTCAGAGACACATTAAAACGCCAACCCAAAAAAGTCTCAGTATAAATGACTGTCAACATAAACGACTGTCCCAAATTGCATCCTCCCGTCAGCACCAGATTTGCACGAGGGCCTTGCACAACTACACTACACCTCTGAGGTCTACTAATGTTTTAATGCCAATAGCTCACCCTTTTCTCACCTTTTTCTTTTGTTGAACTTTTTCACAGTGCATCCACCCCAACGTCAAACCAGAAAACATCCTTGTGATCTAAACTCACGTAATCAAACTTCACTTGGATCCTGAGTAGGTCACCCAGGGAGCAGAGCATTTATGAGCATTTAGAGTTAATGTGCCACTGATGACTTATTCAGCATGGGCCTTATATTAGCTCTTACTGCCTCCTCACTTTCAGCGTTTGAGTGAATCAGTTGCACAGGAGGGGCATTGAGCCAGTTAGTGCCCCTGTGTGTGGCGTGTCTCTGTTTACCCTCACTGTCATGGGTGTTATGTCTCCATACCTTAACATGGAGTCATTCAGTGAGCCTCGTAATCCGTTTTTCTTTTGTGTACCTGCTATTGAGTTCTGTAAGTCATTACAAAACCAATAATTCTCCTGACATACAATATCAATACCATTTCCCTGTTACCAGCAGGCACATTTCAGTAAAGTCATAGGAAAATACATCATTTGGATTTATAGGAAATACTTAGACTGGTTGAGTAATAAAATGCCTCCAAGCACTGGTCTTGACAATGATCCAATGGCAATGGGCTTCTTTAGCGCACTAGGATTCATTCATTGTTCTGCTACAGCAGAACAACACGAGCACTGCCAAAAGCACAGAGTTCCTTCTTTTACACTTGTACACTACCAGTGAAAAATTAAAACTTTGCATCTTGTTGACTTTTCTGTCATTGGCTAATCTCTGCAGAGGGAGGTGTGGTCTCAAAGACCTTTCACAGTTTTGGTTGGTTCTATGTGGCATACTAAACATATTACTATGTTCCTCCCCCCAAAAATACTTGGTAGCAAAGGCCATTTATTGCACAGCAATAAAAATGTATGCTTGACACATACCCATATTTGTATGTGTTTCAAGTCAGGTCCAATCCAGTTTTAGGATTTTGGTCAGCGTAAATGATTGCACTTGTATTAGTGTAAAATGAAAATAGGAAAGTTATTAATTAATAAATAAAGATATATAGGATTTGGGAGGGAAAACTATAGACTTTATTACAAAAATATATACTTTATTTTCACATTTATACCCACATTTCACTTACAAATAATTCTACAAAATGATCCATGTAAAAAGAACAGTATATTAAAAATAAATGTTTTTACACAGGTTGAACCTCTTGCCATAAAATCACTTATTCCATTGTATTGTGAATTAGCTCATCTTGGTGCGGCAATGATCTGGTATTTTCTGGGCACATTGCCAAAGCTACTGGTCTCAGGAGTCAGGCTGATGCTGTCAGGACCTCCACTGCACGAGAAGGTGAAGTGCTGCAGCAGAGACACTATAACGATGAACAACTCCATACGGGCCAGGGACTCTCCAACACACGCCCTCTTCCCTGTGACCAGAGGAACACCGCAAACATAGAAATCAAATAATACAGATCATATAATCCAATCAACATGCATTAAAGTTTACCTGCAGCAAAAGGCAGAAAAGCTGGACTTTTCTTAAAGTTTCCGTTGTGATCCAGAAAGTGCTGAGGGTTAAAGGTGAAGGGAGTGGCCCATTGCTTTTCTCCTTTCAGCACAGAGTGTAGCACTGGAAGTATGAAAGTGCCCTATAACAAATACATACTGTATTATACATGTAAAAGCACATCCATGGTTTAAAGCCTATTCACAACCATTATATTAAATGTGATTTGTGAAAAGGAAGCACATGCACCTTTGGGATTGTGTAGCCCCTGAAAGTGAAGTCTTTGAGTGCATAACGGGGGAACCCCAAGGGAACAAGGTCAGTGAAGCGCTGAACCTCGTGAATAACTGCATCGCAGAAGGAAAGGGACTTCCTTTCTTCCATGTTGGGACTACGACCTTGACCAATCACAGTGTCAATCTCCTCCTGCATTCTCTCTGAATATGGCAAAAATATCAACACATTATTAAATGAATGGTTTAAAATGGGTGCTCTGTAATAGATGCATACTCTGAATGTCGGGGTATTTGATGAGAACACTCAGAGCAAATCTGATAGTAGAGCTGGTGGTCTCTGTTCCTGCTGCAAACAGGTTAAGAACTGTAGACCACAAGTTCTCAAAGTGGAATTCGGTGTTTGGGTTGTCTCTCTCCTGAGGGAAAACAAGTGTGTTAATAAACAGTGGATTTAGAGGGCGGATTTACTGTAATTTTTCAACTGGTCTTAAAATTTTGATCAGGAGTGTATATTGTATAATGGTTTTGGTCACAGGAATCTAGTATAAGTGCCTCCTACCTGGTTCATGCGGATAAGAAAGCAGTCGATGAAGTCTCGTGGAGAGCTGGGATCCAGTGTCTTCATGTGCTCTTCAATTTTCTTCCTATGGAACTCTCTCACCTCATTCATTTCTGTAAACATAGTGTGATGTGGGCCAGGAAGATGATCCATCAGCCAGGGAAAGTTGTTGTAAAGCTGAAGAAAGGCGGTAACAAATATGATTTTCTATAATATTCTATGCATGTAAGATTACATTTAAACATACCTGTCCAAAGGGGGTGCTGTTAAATTTTGCAAAGTTGTTTAAGCGTTGCAGTTCTTGAAGAAATTGTTTATCTTCATAGTCGAAGCGTTCCCCAAACACCAGGCAGCAGATCACATTGGAGACAGTCTGACTCAAGATAAATGTGGGATCAAAGGGCTTCCCTGAAAAAACAAAAAGATCAAAGAATCACTCACTTCAAATCAGCAGTATTAGCCACATATTTTCTTTCCTCAACTTGAAGCGCTCGTAGTTCATTTTGTATTATTTTGTTGTTTGTTATTATCAGTGAATTATATAAATATTTACTTTGGTCAGTCATGATTAGATAAGGGTCAGACTGAGCACTTCCCTAAAGATAAACTTAGTGTTAAGCATGTGTTATTAAATAGACAGGCCTGCCGACAGAAATTTGGGGGCCCGGGGCAAGAAGTCTCACATGTGCCCCCCTTTAATATTAATTAATAGGCAGAGGATCCAATTCTGGACTCCTAAGACCCTGGGGCACAGGGTCCCCCTCTCTCTACTGCCCTGTTGACAGATCCTAAAGCCTTGTGTGAAGTACAGACATGAACAAAATTGTGGTGAATGTCCTTTGGACAGATGAGACAAAACTGGAGCTCTCTGGCAAGACACATCAGCTCTATGTTCACAGACACAAAAATTAAGCAGACCAAGAAAAGAACACTGTCCCTACTGTGAAGCACGGAGGAGGCTTGGTTTTGTTCTGGGGCTGTTTTGCTGCATCTGGCTCAGGGTGTCTTAAATCTGTGCAAAATACAATGGAATCTCTAAACTATCAAGGTATTTGGAACAAAAGGTGTTGCCTAGTGTCAGAAAGCTTGGTCTCAGTTGTAGGTCATGGGACTTCGAACAGGACAATGACCCAAAACACACAGCTAAAAACACCCAAGAATGGCTAAGACCAAAATATTGGACTGTTCTGGAGTGTGAACCCAGATCTCAATCTTACTGAACATCTGTGAAATGAGCTGAAACATGCTGTCTGGAGAAGGAACCCTTCAAACCTGAGAGAACTACAGCATTTTGCTCATGAGAAATGGGTCACAATACCAGCAGACCAGTGCAGAAGACTCATTGACAGTTACAGAAATTGTCTGCTTGCAGAGTTTGCCTCAAAAGGTTGTGCAACAAAATATAAAGTTAAGGGTACCATAATTTTTGTCCAGGCCAGTTTCATTATTTTGTTTTTTTCTAATAATTCTGTTGAACCACAGGTGAAAAACAATGTTTGATTTTTGTTGGACAATTTTCAGTAAATTTATATTTGTTATTGCTTTTCTCAGTTTCAAGTTATTTCAGTGATTATTTTTGATTTTTCTTTCATTGCCAGAGGGGTACCAACAATTTTATCCACGACTGTATGTATATACCATTGAGTGTGTTGATGCGTGCTATCAGGTGCTTGCTCTCCTCCTGGATCCACGCTTCCATAGTCTTACGTCCCATGCCGAAGTCTTTCAGAGTGGTCAGAGTGAAGCGTCTGAGCTGTTTCCAGCGCTCACCATTACTGATGCCCAAACCTGAACGAAATGATCAGTACAACATATTACTAGTGCTGAACCCAGGATGGTTTAAAACCATATATTTGGAACAACCTAAACTTACCATAGCCCCGAGTGACTCTGTGCAGAAAATGTACTGGAGCTCTATCAGAGAAGTCTTCTCCTTGGTCCACCAGAGCCTCCTTCACTGCATCATAGCCCACAAGAACAACAGCCCGCTGCCATCCCAGGTATATGGTCATCACAGGACCATAGGTTTTACTGAACTGCAGTTAAAAGCAAGCAGCATGTTAGATAATGCATGCACAATCAATCTGAGAACATCCAAGTGCATTCAAACGTACCTCCATAATGGATTTATATGGTGCATTTTTGTCCATAAACGGCAGGTTTCCAGCAATGGGAAGTGCGAAAGGTCCTGGAGGTAAATTACTGTTGCTTTTCACTCTAAATATCCAAAAGAGAACAAGTACAAGTGCTCCTAAGAACACTGTTGTGTACAGCTCCATGACTTCTCTTGTCTAATACTTTAGTGACTGGGGCTGGGGTGCTTGTATGTTTTACTTTGAATGACAGTTGACAGAAGCACAGCTATAGGCCATAAGTCAACCACGTGACTTTCTGTTCACCTTTGTGCACTCTCACCCGGTTACTGACTTTGATCCGTATGTCTGGTTGCAACAGACTTGACTCGACATGAACTGTCTTCCAAACAACACAATATTATGACTTGCTCAACCCTTTATCACACTGAGGCACATTTTTGTGCTTTTTGACCTTTGTTTCTTGCATAACTTCTTCATTTTAGATGTAAATGGGCTGATTTTTGGCACAGTAATTCATCTCAGAATGTTTTAACATTTTCCCATCTTTTTTTTTTCTTTTTTTTTTTCTTTATGGGCTCTCCCATTATAATCACTATTTTTCAACCTGCAATTGTATGAAGTGTAAAGCATGCAATATCTGTGTGCAAGGGTTTTCTGAAACATCTGGCTTCAGATTAGGTGTATTTTATATTCTGGTATATTTTTTTGGAAGATGATATAATTTTACCTTATATGGTCAACAATGGAAATGCATGTAATTCACCATTGACTTCCTTTATAATCACTAGTTTTCAACTTGCCATACATACAGAGTATAAAGCATGCAATTTAATTTCTATATATTTGCTGAACCCTCTGACGTCTTTTTTTAATGATGAAGTAATTCTTATTTTATATGGTAAGTGGTTGAAATGCATGTCATTTTGCACTGGGGGGACATTGGCCCTAGCCCCTCCCCTCAGGGTTACATGACATCAGGTGGATGTGACTGGTGAGTGCTTGAGGAGCTACAGGAGTCCCAGAGAAAAGTGAAAGAGAGTATTTGACTTTTACTCCATATATTTATTTTTAAAAAAACAAAAAACAGCAGAGATCAGACAGTATCAGATACAAACCTCCTAAAGCTGCTCATTCATTCACTTTACTATGTGGAAAATATCAGACATTCATTATGTCAATAAACCTTATAGTTTAGTTTGGGTAGGTGAGGCTCTCTGGGATTAGTGCCTAGGAAGTGTAGAAGACAGTATTTTTTTGTAAACATGAGTTTTTGAGGAAGTAATTGTAAGAGCTAGGTGCATATGCAGGGGCAACAAAGGTACGAAATATATGATCAGAAATAGAAAAAGTCCCAAATGTGGCCACAGTATCCTCTATAAATCAAAAGAACCATTATTATGGTTATTAAAAGGCTCAGAGATTTATATTTTAAATTATTATAAAAAGAACACATGTTGGTGTAAAAATCTACGTACAAAGTCCCCTACAGTTTCATAAATGATGTTTACAGCAGGTTTTGTGTGGGCTTCAAGGGGAAAAGTAGCCTTTTGCATATCATAATCCACATAGTCCGACATGTAAAACAGAATAATACAGTTCAAGCTCAGATGTGATGTCAAATCTGAGGTCCAAGTGGGAGTTGGAAGATAATTGAACACAGGTGTGGGGCGAGGGATAACTGGGAGAAACAGAAAATCCAGAGAGTACTATGACAGTAGCCAAGTTTCTTAAGTTTAAATAAGGCTAAATTGCTTTTTACAGCTTCGTTGGTGCATCTTATTTGCAGAGCTGTCATGGAGGGTTAGGCCAGAGAAGTGAACCACGTGACTCCTCAGCTCACCTTTGTGTCACTTACGTCTGCCTCTAAATCAGGTTCTATCAGGTTTTACTTGACTTGTTTTAGGCCCAGGCAACATAATATAACAAAACACCAAACACACACAAACAAGCAAACATTGCATGCAACACATTTTTCCCCTTGCACAAGTCAGTTAGCCTACAGAACAATAACAACAATACAGGGTATTATCAGAATAAGGTGATAAGGCTGGCTGGTTCAAAAAAACAAAACAAAACACAAAGTAAGTCAATTTTTACATGTGATTTTACAGAATACATTCAGTAGGATACTATATCAGTATCAGGACTAGTGTTAATGGATCCTAATAGTGGTTCACATACTGTGGTATGAGTTGTTTTAGAGTGCACACAGTTGCCTCAACAGTTCAAGTAATTGCTTATTTTAGAGTAAATTTAATATAGCCTATAAATTTATCCTCCTTTGGCTCCTTTGCTGACTTTAGACTTTAGATCGTTTTGGTGGTACTCAGAACACAAGGCAAAATATTTTTTTAGGTAGTAGGACTATTGGTGTGCAAAGTTTGAGAACCACTGTCACGATGTCATCAACTAATTAATTGACTAAACTGATATACATTGTAAATAATGTTCATATTAATTAAATGATTGTGATTAAGTGTGATTTAATGTGATTAAATGAATGATGCTATATATATATATATATATATATATATATGTGTGTGTGTGTGTATATATATACCACTATTCATAATAACAATAATACCTGGTTACCTCAAATACTTTCTAAGTACAATATATCTGGTTCAAGTTCTAAGTTTTTACTACAATAAAAAAGAACACGCAAAGCCATCATCCCAGAACATCTTGCAACAGCACGTGCAACAAGTTATTTGAAAATGCCTCTTCAAACTAATTTGCAGTAAAATATTGAAAGAAAGTCCCTAAAAATGATGTACATAAAAATCATTCATTATATATGTACAAAGAAAATATCAAATGAAACTCAGTGTTATTTTCAGAGGAATCCAAAGTGAGGGATGGAGAGGGAGAGAGGGAGGGAGAGACGGAGAGGGAAGGAGACAGGGAGGGAGAGACGGAAGAGGGAGGGAGAGAAAGAGAGAGAGGAGAGAGGAGGGAACAGAGAGAGAGAGGAGGAGGAGAGGGGGAGGGAAAGGGAGAGACAGTGAGGGAGAGGGAGAGAGAGGGAGAAGGAGAGAAACTGAAAGAGAAGAGGAGAGGGAGAGGGATAGAGGAAGAGGGAGGAGAGAGAGGGATAGGGAGAGTGAGAGAGGAGAGAGGAGAGAGACAGTGACCACCTGTCAGCAGAGGGTGGAGTATTTCCTGGTTGCTGTTTCCTTGAGGTGCTGATAAATCTGGACATGGATGTGTGACAGATTAAAACAACAACAATAACAAGAGTTATTCTCTCAAACATACGATAAACATAATTTGTGATGCACTGATATACATCTTCCAGCAGCAGTAGCAGGCACAAACAAAACTGTTGCGACATCAGATGCATTGTGAAGACACATGACTCCTAGAGGTTTACAAGAATGTGCATGTCGCCATCTGCTGGTAAGAGAGGCACATGCAATTCCACTAATGCTCTATCACACAAACAGACTTTATTTTGCATTATTTCTGGGTAAAAACAGAGCAGCCAGTTGTAAAATTGTTATATGCCATAGCTGTTTAGTGACATGTAGGTTTGTTTAAGAGAAATAACTTTCATTAAAGGCCACAAAGACAATTTACTAATGCAGTGAGCTGGAGAAAATATAAAGTGATCAAACCCAAAATTATTTATTTTTTTCCTTTTTTTTATTGCATATATGTGCACATATATGGACTAGTGACTAGTTGGTATTAATAACTAACAAATTGTTACTTACTGTGAGATTGACAGGTGGATTGCTGCAGCGTCTGCAGTGATGCGGTCGCTGTATCGGACTGTTGTGGTGAAGAGGGAACTGAGTCAAAAGGCGAAGCTCCCGATTTACCGTCAGTCTACATTCCCCCTGTCACTTATGGTCATGAGCTCTGGGTAATGACAGAAAGGACATGATCATGAATACAAGCGGCTGAATGGAGTTTCTTCCACAGGGTGGCTTAGAGATAACGTGAGGAGCTCAGTCACACAGGAGGAGCTCGGAGTAGAGCCACTGCTCCTCCATGTCGAGACAAGCAGCTGAGGTGTCCTGAAGTTCCCGAGGGATGCTTTCTGGGTGCCTCCCTCAGGAAGGGTTCTGGGCATGTCCCACCGGAAGGAGGCCCAAAGGAAGACCCAGGACACGCTGGGCTGGACTGGGAATGCTTTCGGTTCCCCCCTGTGGAGCTGGAGAAAGTGTCCAGGGTGAAGGAAGTTTGGCTTAGACTGCAGTCCCGGCCACCCAGCCCTGGTTAAGTGGAAGAAAATGGATAGATATATAATTGTTACATATAGATACATTCAAGAGGTAGATTATCAGAATATTTCACATACAAACCTTATATTTTTTGTTGCTCTATTGTGATATAAATATAGACACTTTGATTACTGCTTTTGTCTGAATACATGCCCTCTGTCCTGGTCTCTTCTCAGTGCGTTACATAAAGTTATTTGAAGTGTAATGTTTGCATTCTGACACAATAGTTAATCCCCACTGAATATGTGCCATAGTTGATATTTCTGTTAAAGGACTGGAACTCATCATTTGGAGTGTAGAAATGAAATGGTAACACTTTATAATATATAACTACACCTTATTTAGCCTTAATAAAGGATGAGCAAAGGCTTAATTAATAATGAACAAAGACTTAATTAATAATGATTCATGCTTAGTAACTACTTAATTACTACCTTAATTCGCACTTGCACTTAATTTGCCTGTGCTGTAAATAGTTACTCATAATTATTTCATACTTAATTACTCATGGACTAACCATTTGAGCATTTATTAATCATTAGTAAACTATGAGAGAATGATTTACTAATAATGCAATGCAATGATCATTCAGGCAGCTGTTATCTGTTAGTTAAGTCTTTTTGAGAGCTTTTCTAAAGTGAAGACAAATTATGTTTTATTTAGCATTTACTAAGCGTGAATCATTATTAAGTAAATCTTTGTTCATTATTAATTAAGTCTTTGTTCATGCTTTATTAAGGCTAAGTAAGGTGTAGTTATTATAAAGTGTTACCAATGAAATCTCTGTTTGGCATATGAACCCTCCACGTCAACAAGTGTCCAAATGCACAAGAACAATAATTCCTCCATTTTAATGTGTTTTACAAATACAAACGATGTGTTGTTTTGCACAGTAAAATCAAATATGCTTTAGTAACAAGTAGTCCGGTGTTTATATTGATAACATGTGACCTGAAC